AGATAATATTATTAATAACTATCTAAAAGAGTATTCTAGCTAATAAAATAAATATATATATATACTAGATATAAGTAATATAATTATAGTAAGTATTATAATTAGGATTATTATAATTATTATAATCTTATTAATTATTCTTAGTAATTAGATAAAATTTATAGGTTCTATATATAATATATATAGTTAGGGTGAAATTTATAATATAATAGTAAGTAAATTACTAGTATAAAGATTTAAAGAGTTTTCTACTATATAATTATAATCTTAAACTAATAAAGCTTTCTTTATTAATCTTTTATATTTATTATATTAAGTTTATTAGATCTAATATCTTCTTTATTTTAACTTTCGATCTAATCTCCTCCGGTATAATTCACATATAAGGATAGCTAGGGCATATAGGTACATAGGAGTTCATGAAATATAGATTTAATCGTTCTCGAGCGACTCTGGTAGGTATCACACAAATGAATTCAGTACCTGCCCATCATTGTTCATTCAATTGACTCCATCTTGTAGCTCTGAAATGACTGTTTCGAGCCATTGACGGGGACCTAGTTATATTGGAATGCCCTGGTCAATCAAAAGGAAGTCACTAAGATAAAACTTATCAATTTCGGATAGTTCGGGCCTTCAATGTTGACAGCGAAGGCCTTTGTGATACCGAATTTAGAAGCTTTGCCCATCTTATAGACCACGAATACTGTGCTGGAGCTGTGGACATGATTCAATGGCAATTAAGCAACGAGCCGGTTGTACAGGCCTGACATCAGGGCACTGCTTCCTCACCGCTGACTCTTTGGGAAATACGAGGCAGCTTCATGTGCATGGAGCGATGGAACATACTCTATGTAATTGGAATAATAAAGAACATAGGGCCGCTTTGTGCAGCCTGTATTTGGCTCGAAAGCAGTTGGAGATGTAGATCCAGGAGTCTGGAGGCTGCGCTGGGTATCGGGCACCAGGGCTTCCCTGCGCGTTGCCAAGCGAGGCGGTGTCGGAGCATCCGGCTTTTACAGATAATTGCAATGCAGGATTATTTCAACAACGACTGATGGCCTATTCCACATTCTGTGACACCGCCGTGATTTGTTGTGATGCTCTTGGTTCTTGCTGGCAATAAGGATATTATATCTTACACTACAATGTTCGAGGGAAGGGTGCGATTGCGGCTAGATAGCCCAGGGACCTAAGCGGTAACATAGAGTAGGTGACGGGTCAGAAAGAACAAAATCGACGCCTGTGACGTACAGCGTTTGTTAAATTGAGAAGCGGGATGGGCTAGAAGATTCAAGCTGACTGTCCGTAAGATCTAACTATGCTACGAGCACGTGGCTCACTCTCACGTCATGAGAGAAAACAATGACATCTCGCGGGGACATGTGCTTACTTTAATTAGATCGAAAGGGAAAGAATAAACATCGTAGTGGGAGCTGGGTATTCTGACGCGACCCCTTCACAGAATTACTGCGGCCAGTGTAGGGTCCAGCCCCTACAGACCAGAACCCAGAGGACACCATATGAAGTACCCAAAGCCCGATCCCTGGCCTTTGACTGCTATCGTCTAAGTAATTCTGAGGAGTTAGTCATGTCTCGATCGACAATTAATTCACGTGCGTTGGCATGCGCGTGGGTGAGTGTGAAACCGTACCCGACAGGCCGCAGCAGCTCCTCCGGCTGGGCTCGGGCATAGGGGGCAGTGTTGACGCAAACATGTTTGGGGAGGGCTTTTGTATTGTTATGCCGTGGTCCCAAGGAGCTGGGGCACTGTACCGACTGGCTGGAGCCCATGTGGTCGGTGAGGCCTCTCATCCTTCAGCCCCCGTTGCATCCGCTGCGTCTCAGATAGCTAAAGCATATCATGGCAAGCACGGGGGAGAGTGCGTAATAGCATGCCATATTAGTAGATGGTGCGCCAGACCAATGTACAGCGAGGTAACTTTGGAAGCAGGCCAACAGGGTCGCAGCAGGGTGTTGGTAAGATGGATCCTGCAGCTTATTTTTATCACTGACAAGCCAATGAACAGTCTGTATGTTCCCCATACCGTCACTGGGGGCTGAGCCTGACTCAGGCTTCCTAAAACGGACTTGCTGGAGAGTCGGTCTGTGGTCTAAGTAGAAGATGCAGCCCATGGCCATCGATGAAGATGATTCCAGGACTCTTTCACATCATCACATTCTTGTGAAGGTTTGCCGTTTCCTTTTCCTTTTCTCTTCTCTTCTATTTCCTTTTTTCTCTTCTTCTTGTGGGCTTTTTTTACTCGCTTCACCTTTTTCTTTCTACATTCTTCTTCTACTAGCGTCTTCTTTCTTTCTCTTCTTTTTTTCTTTCACACGCCGGAAATGAGCCTCCACATTCGCCAGTCTCTTCCTCAGCAATCGCTGATGGCGATATACTTGGCATTCCTCCTCCCGTCTTTAGTGTCCGCCGCCCCAGTAGATATTCTTGGGATCAAGGTGCACACTAGAGACACTAGTGATGATGGTTACAAGATCAACCCGGGGATGGTCGCTGGTGTAGCATTTGGTGTCCTCTTCGGCATGAGCATCCTATTCACAGTAATCCGAGCCATCATCGACAGGAGGAGATTCGTCTCGTCAATCACAAAACCTCCGACTCCCCCGCCTGTAGCCTCGACAGCACCAAACGCGCCTCGGGTCGTGCTAGTATCGGAAGAGAGCCCGATCCAAGAGCCACTGCCGGCATACAAGCTCGAATCGCCCGTCAAGATGACCGAGGAGGAGATCGAGTACCATTCGATTCTTGCGACAAGGACCCAGCGACCGCCGAGCTATTCGTCCACGGCAGAGACACTCAACGACTCGTTATATACCGTGTCGAGCTTCGAATCATCAGACACCCGATGAGCTACTTCCGATTGATACATTGGTATTCTCTTCTATATACCTGCTCAAGGTTTTCTTGACTGGCTGGAAGTAACCTGTGGACGATGGCCCGGTTCCATACCGAGGATATATGTCGGTTAACCGCACGCCTCTCATCATGATCACGGAGAATCGAGCGAATTACACGACCACAGCAGTGACGAATTTATGACTACAATATTGATTCACCGAAATCAACAAGTCTCACAGCGTGTTGGAGCATGGCGAAGGTGGATAACCGTCCTGCTACTAGTCATAGCCAGAGAAGCTGATATCAATGGTATTCGGCACCTCTCTGTATACCTTCGCGCGATTTATACTTGCCGAAAAAAACCTGGAGACTCATCAGAGAAACTGGCGCAATAGGGACAGGGAAGGCGGTATGATTTACTTCTTTTTCTTCTTCTTGAACAATTAGCATAGAATGCTTCCCTTGTCGGCAAGCCCGAAAAGATTCTTCTTCTTCTCTTCTTAAATTAATCCGCAGCCACACAAATACAGTGACATGTAGTGTTGTACACCGGATGAGGATGAGACTTATGTAAATTTTGGAAGGGAATGTTCAGGTATTGAGCAAGTCAAGATAACTCTGTAGAGGGTTAAGCCAAACCTCAACCGATCGGACCAACCACGAGGCTACAACATAAGCCGTGGCCGTCTAGTTGTATCCTGTATACACTCAATTATCCGTCGAGGAAATTGGTAACCTTCCCGGTTTCGAATCGTTTTACAGCCAACCATCCGCAGAAGATGTTCAAAAGGCTGCCATCTACGGAGGTCTTGTGGGCTAGCTCTTATATCTTAGTACTAAGGTATTAATATATAAGTCTATTTATATAGCTCTATAGGTAAAAACTAATAAGTATTTTTTTATTAGTAGGAATAACTATACTATTTATACTAAATATTAGTAAGAGTATATAGAGTATGCTAGAGTAACTATTACTAAGTTAGATTATAGGTATTCTGTATTTCTTTATAGAAGGGAAGCTAAAAAGATTATCAATTTTATCGGGGATATATTATATAAAGCTGAATAGATACTTTAGAAACGCAATTGCAAATATATTGAATCCACACTAGCGACAAATTTAAAGTAAAACAAAAGACAACTAAGAATAGATATAGAAGACAAGAGAAGTTGATAGTCGTTTAGATGTCCGATGATTGATGCACATCCAATGAACATACCCACCTCATCCTTAACCCACTGCACAATGCACTACTGCGCAAGAAATCATGATACTCACAGTGTATCCTTAGTGGCATGCCAAAGCGAGGTAGTCTTCCTGAGATCCGCAACAAGTCCTGCGACGCCCTTGATACCCAAATTAAAACCAGGCACACCGTCATGCGTCCAACCAGAAAGGTGCCATCCGATCGGCAGCCAAGCCAGGGGACGGATCCAATCCGAATACCACTCCGCCGCCTTCTCAGCCTCCTCCTGGGTGATATCTCCTTGATCGATGTGCTTCCTCCGGAAGAAGATCTGTGCTTCCCGCATAAGGCGGGCGAAGTCACACATGATGCCCAAGAACCAGGCACGGTGAGCTATCTTGTACACGATCCCCACGTTCCCGCCAGTCCAGCGCCCAAGGCCTCGCTTGGAAAGGACGCCCTTGTCGGTTAAGAATGCTATATTTTCGAGGAGCTGGTACATCGCGTACAATGAGCATTGCAGGGCCGCAATGAAGTAAAGAACTTGATCCATGCCCTTGGAGGTCATCACCTGCCTCATCTTGACATAGATGGGGAGCAGCCCAAATAGTCGCAGGGCTAAGCGTGCGTCATTGAAAACCCCTCCCAGTCTAGCAAAGCGAGAGGACTCTGCCTCGGTAGCGACAGAGAAAGTAGTGATAGCGGCATCGGGCTTGACTAATGAGAGCGCCTTTGTCTTCAAACTATGGGCTTTATGGTCGAAGTATGCCAAAAGATACAGGGCATAGTTGAAGGTGGTAAGTACGGAGCCGAGGTCTTTGGTGGGCTGAAGAAGTCTGCGCTGACTTAGAAACATAGTTCGTGTTCTATATCGAAGTGACTTACTTGTTCAGCCTGAAAAGCACACGATCTGGCGCTCTCAGCTGAGGCTTTGACTGCACCGCCATGGGACGGACCTTAGATGAAGGGCGGAGAGGACTTTCAATGACACTGATGGATGGCTTGTCCAAATCGTTTGAAGATGAATGATCGTAGAGAGAGAGTTCAAGCTTGGCGAGATTGTCAACCGATTCTGGAGTAGACATGATGTAGATATGATCTTATGCAGGAGAAAGTTGATGTCGCTTAAAGCAATGTTCGGGGGCTGTACAATCAACATATGATTATCTAGCTCGTAGAAGTCGAGATATGGTGAGAGCTCCGAATATGATCGGGAGGTGGGGGCTCCTATCTTGGATTTCGTGTGATGAATAGTGGCTAGCTGAAATATTTCGGGCCTACCGGAGCTGAACGAAGCAATTTTCGTACCATTTATTGACTGAGGGATAGTCATAGCTCTCTTGGCGTCAAAAATAGCCGCGCATTGCGTTCTGCATTCATTCATACTCTAGAGTCTAGACCGTTGAATACATGGCCAAATATTGGTCATCTAGAGGCTGCTAGATACCGGTTTCCCCTCTCCGGCTATTTCACTCCGAAAGCAAAAAGTGAGATCGGAAATCGGCAACCATTTCAAAACCCATCTCAAGCTGTTAGAAAGCTGAAAACTCCTGATTCGGCATTGGCCAATTCAACTAAATCAACTATTTGATTCGACTTTAATAGTTTAGACTTGGCGGTGACCAGCCACAGTCTAGGGTGAAACATTCTCAAGCTATCTGGGAAGCTATTCAATTGTCAGCGATCTGCACTCACGTTCGTGAACATGTGACCGTGTGATGTCTGGGTCAATAAGCCTCGTTTCAGTTAATGAACTGTTCATCGCTAAGAAGACTAAGGTCTAGAACGAGTAGGTTGCCTTGACTCCTCGGCAGGATCGTATCCGTGCTCATATCTAGTTGAGACAACAGCATGGGTACCACATCTATTCTGAGACAATATTGCGGTCATGAGGCAATCATTGCGCAGAACAGCCCATCAAGTTTCTTACCCCCCTCCTATACCTATGCTGCGGGGTTAGATCAATTGAATTCAGGTCAAGTGCGGAGAAATATTGGACGAGCATTAAACTAAACCGGCTCGGTCCGTAGGTAGTGTCGAACTATGGTCACGCACTCTGAGCCTTGCAGGTGGAACTGACTAGACGGGTGCTAAGGTCGTTCATCGGCCTACGGAGGGTGTGTCATAAAGTGATTGGTGCTCGAAATTGTTCAGCTGATTATGATTATACTGATATCAAACTTCACTACCCTCGATTTGCATGTGGGTAGACGCTGTCTAAGTCACAAGATCATCAGTATTCGGAGACAGTTCTTGTTTCGTTTAAGCAGAAGATAGTACGCCGCCCTATTAGCTATAGCGCTTGCGATATGGCTTGTGGTAGTTCCATTGTGTCTCAATTCCTAGGCTTCATGAAGTCTTTCTTGGGTCTAGACAATTATCCACCTTTCTGCGGCTGGCCGGTTGGTTTCAATGTGCACAACGGGTATGAGTGTTGGAGATGCGAGGACAGAGTCAATTAGGACCAGATGAGTCTCTTGATGTACTACAAAGATGGCTTCTTGTTCTTTAGTTTTCAAATTGTGAATACTTCTCTACCAAAGACCCGTATACTTGCAATCAATCACATTACAATTAATTCACAAACTCATACCTCTGTCCGCCGTCCCTCACGGAACTAATCTGTCACCATGCCTACATCCATCCCCTACGATCCCAGCCTCACTCTTATGAGCGTTGTGAATGAGCAAGCACTCAACAACGTCCTCGCGATTGCAGCTCTCCAAGCCCCCGTCGACGCTGCCCAAGATGCCTTGAACTCCTACATTTCATCCAAGCGTAGCTTGACCATGACGCGGACCGAGCTTCGAAATCTCCGGGTCAGCACCGAAGATCTAGACAAGGAGCTCGAGAGGCTCAGCGCCAATGTCGAGAAGGCTGCCAGTGACTATGCAAAAGCCAAAATGGCCGCTGAGCCTCAGATCATGGAGAAGCGGAAGAACGTCCACTCTGTTCACAAGCAGATTGAGAGTCCTGTGGACTACATGCGGAGCGAGATCAAGACCATGCCACTTGCCAACGACACCATGAACATGGATGTGCAGTACTTTTCTTTCGACTCCAACTCCCAGAGCTCGGCTGCCTACAGCGCCCAAATCGCCTCGTACGTGTCTGGAACTGTGGGCGGCGTTTTCGGGGCTAAGAAGTCCATGGAAATTGGCACCGCAGCATCGCGTCAGGTCAGCCGCCAGGTCAGCAGCCACAGCATCGAGGGGACTCTGGTGCTGTCTGTAAGCTGCACGCACAAGAATGCATCCATCGTGGCGCCATTTGTCCTGCACGTCGACAAGGCTATCAAGGTGTGGAATCATCTTTTCCCCAACAGCAAGCTAGACCCTACCAGCGGGCCAAGCATGATGAAATGTGCCATGGAAGAGAGCAAGGAAGATAAAGAGAAGTTTTCCATCATCTCCGGTACCACCTACGGGTCGAGTTTCGTCGGCATGGTCCACATTCTCAACTCGACGCAAACATCTGCCTCAGAGTCAATGACTGCCGCTGCCGCGTCTATGCAGGCGTCCATGGACGTGGGTGGTTGGTTTGCCAAGAAGAGCGGCAAAGTCGGCGTGGATGCCAAGTTTGCCAGCGACGTCAAGAATCTTCTCAGTCAGCAGAATGTCCAGTCTCATGTGACAGTCCTAACCATGGGTGTTATCCCTTCCATGGTGGCCAATGAGGTGTCCAAGACTGTGAAGGAGTTCACCAAGTTTAGCCCCGAGTCCAACATGGCAGCCGTGGCCAGCATCCAAAATGCCACCGCCTCTAACCAGGCATCTGTTCAATCTCTAGCCGAGGATGCACGAACAAGCGGCCAAGCCTCCGAGTTGCAGGGCAAGACGATTGAGTCTGCTATGAGCGCCTTGGCCGTCGTTGACGAAAGCAAGAACAAAGTTCTGGATGTCAATTCAATGATGACGGCCCTGGATGATTACTTGAAGAAGGCCGCAGAGGGCAATGCTGGAATTCCTATCAACTATTATCTAAAGGATATCGATCAGAAGATGCTGGCGCAGATGTGGGCAGCCAAGTATTATCCTGGCCAGTTTATGGCTATCAAATACGACGACACGGAAGGAGGCCCAGCGACTGAGGGTGGAGAGCCCAAGGCTAAGTTGTGAGATGTGCGATTGTCTTTTGTCTACCTTAGTTTACCTACTGTCCAATGTGTTGAATTTCTTCGTTGCACACTTCATCTTGATATTGTGTCCTAGGCTTTTTTTTTTTCACCCTTCCTAGTACTCCCTCTTGACCTTATTCGTACCTCAAGCGAATAGACCCGAGATGATATGTTCTACATTTATTTCATAAGTACAAGAGGGACATCTTGATACTTCTACAGTACTTAGAAAATGCAATTCTTGGTGGATTTAGTGACCGTGAATCGATGTAGTGGGAACTGATCTTCAATAATTCTAGAATTGGTATACTCCTTAGCCGAGGTGTATCAGACTAATATAATCCTTGTGAGGTGCAATACGGAGCCCACGGACCTTTGATACGATGACAATATCAGGCCCGGACCTGTGTTTCTTGTCCTTATGTGTAATTGGATAAGCCGTATGGATCTCGTGATGAGGCAATGCTAGATGAGATTTCAGTGATTGCATGTAGTTCGTATATGCAAGCCCGAGATATGTGACGACTCGACTAGACGGCAACGTCCTAGAGTCTAGACCAGCGCCAGTTCCTTCAAAGACGGAAAAGCTTGCGCTACTGACCAAGGATCGTGACACTACGAAAACGGCAAGCCGCATCTCGCCCGCCGCTACACTTAATACATCAAGCTCAGCCGCACAAGATCGTCTAGACAGGGTCCAACTAGTGGACCCTAACAAACAGTGGCAGCCCTGAATCTACAACTGAGACAATCTTCTAGCAACTTTGAACTATCGGAATCTTACTAAAAGAGGTAGACCAGGTTCAGACCTATCACACATGGAGTACGGACGACAACTGAGACCTCTAGTGAGCGATAGTCTGCTGCTATCAAACAATAGTTCAAATAATTCTTGTCTATTCTAGTTGCTCCCAATTGTGTGTCTTCCCATCCAAGCCGGACTAGTAGTCTATTGGCTTGGTATTTGCTGCCTGATTGCAGAACCACCCGGCTCGATCTTGAGGAACGGCAGCAGGAAAATTGAAACAGATCTTAGGCCCATGACGTGGGAAATTCCGTGGCTAGCTGAGTGGCCGGAGAAGATCGCCCGGCAGCCACGGCAAACAGTCGACACACATCCGATGGCTGACCTACTGCAGATCTGTGGTCCGTGTAGTAATACAAGGAATACCTAGAAGCCTCAGCTGACAACTTCCCTTGCCTGGGTGGAGGTCACAAATGGTAAATCATTGTATCTTACAAGATACTTGGCGAGTATTGTCGTGTTCAACAAGCCACGGCACAAGGATTAAAGCAAACAAGAATTAACAAGCCAAAACGCGTGGATCGTGTATCTTCTATCAACTAAAACTAACAGCCACAATTGTCCCTCAATCACAATTTCGATTTGATGGGGCCGGTGCCAGGTACATCAGTTCCCACAGGCGACACGATATTGACAGGCAGAAACCAATTGATGACCCATTTCTGCTCCTTGCTCTTGATCAAAAACTTACTAGCAGACTCACTGATCAGTCCCTCTTTGTTTCCCACCCTCTGTACCATGCACGGTAGTGTCTCTGTCCTCCCTATAGATTGGTTATAGACAAGGATCTTGTTGTTGTATGTCCTGCTCTTCTTCGGCTCGGGTGACTGCTTCTTCGTCACTAGTGGCTTTTGGGTTTTAGTCGCCGCTAGCTTCTTTTTATCAATGGGTTCTAGCTTTGTCTTCTTTGCTGGCTGTGACTTGAACGTTGATGAGGGCTCTGGCTGTTTCGGCATCTCTTCCTCGTGTTCTGTCTCAGGTGTTGGCACACGTTCCACAATGCCGGCCATGCAGTGCCCTGTCCTAATCGATTTGTCGGAATTGGCCTTGTCCAAGATCAAGTACTGATTATGATCAAGGTCATCAACTCGATTGCCCAGTTCGAACCCAGTGACATTGTGTTCCTTGCCGAAGGAGATGCCTTTCACTCCCAAACGTTGGAGGAGGAGAGTGAGTACCTTGGCACGATCAGAGGTGTTGACCGTACCCGCAGGCATGTTCCAGGGCGCTTTATCGGAGGTTTCAAGCAGAAAGAACATGACCATTCGCTGCCACTCTGGGCCGTATACGAAGAACTTCGTTTTCGCAGAGTCCAGCACTGGGCCAGTCTTGGGGTTGATCTGCAAGAACGCTTTCAAGTCACTGTGTTTCTCGACAAGACCTTCTGGTAGCTCGCCCTCGTTAGGCACCCCCTTGCCATCAGCCCCCTTAGCAGAAATCTCTGCTCGGCGCTTTTCGTAGAACTTGCCAAGCGTGCCTTGCTCCTTGAAACTGGGCTCGAGTTTGCCACTGACTCGGGCTACCTCAAGCAGTGCCAGCCACCAGCATTGCCAAGTGCCCCTCATCTGCTGGACAGGCTTGTCTAGCTCGTAAAGAGTTGCGGATTCCATTGTTGTTCTGGGAGAATACTGTTAGTGAACGGCAAGCACTAAACCATAGCCACCATATTGACATACCGCTCTCAAGAAGTGGGCGTGACAGAACTTTTGCGCACAATGCTAAATGAATGCGGTGATAGTCGATAGTTCTCTTTGACAAGCGTGCAAATATTCACTTTAATAAATTGAAAGAAAATAATGCAACTGATAAGGCAGCCGATATGGGATACCAGTGATTGATCCTGATCTGGAGACTCTGACATTGCGGGCGGGAAGTCTTTCCAGCGAGATTGGTCGATAATGACCCAGCTTTATAACAAGAGGTAAAGATTCCATTTCGATTTACTACTACATACTGTGCTATCTATTTGCCAATGATCATACACTTCATGCAAAGCCACCAGTGCCTTCAGTCAGCTCTTGGCGACCCCATCACATGAAGCAGCCACCCGAATCTATTGAGTTCCAGACCGAACCCCGATCTAAAACATTGGCCAGCCATGTTAATTACGGCCCCAGCAAGCCACAACTCACGGAACATGTTCTCCTGAGCATTACTCCGCTCACCCCAGGCATTCGAGACTCGTAGACTCGCCATTGTTGGGTTGGCTTTCAGCCAGCGCGGAGCGGTCCCCAGCATGACAGCCATGTACTTCGGGTCACACTCTGCCAATAGTCCTGCCGTCGGACCACATTTACATCATCACTCGCCTTCTAATCTTCTCGATTGTGAGTGTATTTTCGCTGCAACTAGAATCGACTACAGTTGACAGAGGATTTTCGGCTTTCATTCAAGCTTCCTCTAAGCTCCCCGATGTTTACAACAGTGGCTTTATGCTTCGCAGCCAATGTCACCAAACACGCATTTCTCGTCTTGATGTATTTCACAACTAAGTCTTAACGATTAAGATATGAGCATAGTTTCACGTGACAGTATCGATGCAACAATAACAACAACCAATATGTACAAGACTAACAGTTGAAATTCCCAAGAAATAATAGAGTAGTAGGGCTAGAAATTTTAATGCCATGATAGCTACTACATGCGATCCTATTATAGATACCGACTAGAGCTTTGGGCGTGTTTTTTGCGCCTGGTTCTGCGTCTGTATCTGCGGCTGCGGCCCCGGGACTTGAGCAAACAGCATAACAATCGGTAACTTCAATTTGGTCACGGCTGGCACATTCTTCTTACTTGTAGCTGACGCGTTTAGCTTAGTTAAATCGGGCAACCAGAGGGCATCAAAAGCTTCATCCATTTCGACTTCAAATCGTGTGGGGTATTTTCGCGAGACGAGGTTGAACTCGGAACTGTGATGAGCCAAATGATCCGGATAGCCCGGCACTGGGCATATCCATTCATAGCTCAGCTTCGGAACGAGCCATGACAGTGACTTGTTATTCCATGTCATATCTCGCTTCAACTCGGTGACGAGACCAACCGTTAGCTCAGACTTTTCAACAAATCTTTTGAGGTACGACTCGTGTCTGTACAAGGGTTAGCTCGGAGAGTAGTTCTACCGTACAGGGTGCCTCACCTGATCATGGCAGTATTGCACTCGTATGTACCCCAGACAAGGTTTTCTTTGCATTGAGATGAATCGGGGTTTGTGTTGTTCGCGCCGTCTAGGATACCTCCGTAGGAATATGCCGATCGATGAAGCCACTTCATTTGTCAATCTGCGAGAATTGCGACTAAGCAAGGATACTACACTCACCTCAACAGATCGGGCCTTATGAACACCCCATAACTTTTGAAGTACCTGTACATTAATCAGATGCCAGAACTTGACCTTCCTTTGGGCACAAACTTACATCTGTTGCACTCCTTCCGTCCATGATGGCACTCTGTCCCTTGAAGCGAGGCCACTTGGTGGCATCCTGAATTCTTCCACGGGTGATCTCGGTCCTCGTTGCGCTGGTCTCGGGAAATACAGCTGAGGTGATCATCGCCCCCAGCTCTTGAGCCTTGTCAATGCTATATTTGGGGAACGGCCGGTCTGGCTTGAAGTACGAATAGCCTTTTCTGTCCATCTCAGCCGCAAGTGCCTTTGAAATGTACGTACTATAGAAGCCCTGTGGATGGCGGCCGAGTAGGACATGCTCCTGCTTCCACTCCAGCGTACATTGAGGAGCTAATATAACCTCACACTTTGGAACGCTTGCATTTGGCGATACATTGGGGTCGGTCGTGAATTTAGAGGCAGCCTGAGCATGCGCACGGCGTATCGCCTCTGCCCACTCTTGGTCAAAGGATCCTGGCCCAGAGGGCTTAGGAGACAGGTCTTTGGCCAAGTCCTTGATAGACTTGGGGACTTGAGGCCTGGTCCATAATTCCGAGATGCGATTCTTGACCTTCTGCAGGTCTTCGTCAACAGCGTAGTAAAATACGAGTGGTGTTTGCAGCGTCTTCGGTATTGTCCAAAAACGCGCATTGACGGCGTACGCCGGCTTCTTGGTGATAGCAGCTACGTACGCGACCTCTAAATGGAAGAAAATCAGTAAGACGTCCTCATTATCAATGAAGAAGTTCAGATTGGGGCGAGCTTACGGCACCATCGACGGAATATGTATTGCCCCAGGTCAGCCCCAGGTTTATCATCGTTAGTTGGCCTTAGCAGGTTGACGATGAACTTGGAACTCAGGCTCATGACGACTTTGTCCTTGGAGCCAGGCTTTTTCTTCAGGTCATTCGTATTTTGCTTGGAGTCAACGGTATTACCCGCAGTGTCGCTAGTCAAAAGATGAGCTCCGTTAAATCGCTCCCTGTGGCCCTCGCCCCATTCCTTCTCTTGGAGAATCATCTTTTGCCTCGGGATTAAGACTCGATTAGTAGTATGAGCGAGAAAGGTGAGCCAATCTAATGCATAGGCTCTGCAGCGATCGTCTGGGTCGCCATAGCGCCCAATCCGCGTTTCCAATTCTTTCAATGGGATGAATGTATTTGACGTGACACAAGTCGAAGTGGTTGTCTCTGTGCTGCCACTGAATATGAACTGCATTTCCGGGTCTTGCATCCAGCGGTGCGGTTTGGATACTTTGTAAGTGAATAGAGAGTACTCGCATTTCTGTATCAAGAATTAGACCAGTATTCACTAAACCGCACTCTAGGAACTTACCTCCTGTAGGAGCCCAGTTGATGGAAAGCCAGGTCTCATCTCGGTTACAAATGGGATCTTCTTTGCTAGTGCAGGGCCGGCGCTTTTGGGATCGGCATAGAACTCACATACCAGTGGATACTGGAGGTTGGTCACTGCATGAGATCGTGTCCGGCCCCCGCCTGTGGTCGAGATTGTGTTGCTTGTCGGTGTGCGAATTTCTAAAATCTTCTGCTCCTCGTTCACGCAAAACCCCCCTGCGAGAGAAATATCAGCTTGGACCGGACACACGAATGGACGCTGAAATACCGTCAAAAATGGAGCCAAGGTCAGCTGCTGCTTCGGGAGCTTCATCAGGATCAAGAAGATCCTGAAACTCACGGGGATCCAAAGGATCGTCATGTTCTTGAATGCGAACTAGAAATTGTCAGCCAAGTTGAGAGAACCATGGTAAAGATCTATGAATAGTTGCTTACCGCACTTGAATAAATTCATGTTACTTGCTCAAACGAGAGATAACCAGATGGAGAAATTGGTTTTCCAGGAAGCAGATCAAGAGTATTAACAACTTTACTATGGCTATTGGAAATTTTAAGAATTCAAGAAAAGGTAAACAAGGGGCATTCCATTTTCTGCTGACAGAAGATTTATATTACCAGGTCAGGTTCTCCCCCACAAGCCACAACAGGGTGGTCTCCTTGCGCATCTACCTAGGCACTAATGAACAGCGTCCAAAAACATGATGACCATAAGTTGACAACAAAGGGGGGCCTACAATGGGCCTGGCCAAGGTGTGTTATGACGCCCGCAAGTTCAAGGCTGGGAGAATGGAGGTTGTCAGTCCCGGCCTAGCTCACTGTGCCGCCCGATAGTCTCCTGTGACGACCACCCGAACAAAAGTGGCGAGCTGAACACGCAGGGGTGGAATTATAGAAACACCCCACTCCGCTGTCTCTCAGCACTACGACTTGTGATATGCATGACCAGCTGATCAGTGTTTTATACTATCGAATTGGCCTCAAACATAATGAGCTTCTCGGCCCGGTCGATGAAATCTATAGTTTGTAATACGCCACCAGGTCTTTATCTGAACCCCTGCTAGGTACCTGATTGACTCTATTGACTCCAGTTCAGCTATCACCACTACGAGACTAACAAGTACAGCACACCTGAGACTTCGGCGGGGCGGGCTCGCCCGATGACCTTACGGAAGGGGGTTTCCACGGTTCATAGGACCGCGTGATATGAGACATTGCGAGAAAGCGGAACATTATCGCTTGCCGACTATTGAGAGATAGTTCCTGTCTATGGCTAGCTGGGTGTGAGCGTATGGGCGCTCTGAAGTTCTCGAGGACCCAGATAAAGCATGTCTCAGCAAAAAAAAAAAGAAAAACCAAATGCAGAAGAGGAGCTAGTGAATTGACGAAGCGAGATTCTGGCAAGTACTAGCAGCGCTCTACTACTGACTAAAAGTCGAGCAGACAGCTAAGCCTGTTATTGACGCCCAGTGTTGTTGAGAATAATCTCAATCCATCAACTAGTTTCCATTCTTTGCACTGTCCCTTTGCCTATTTTTCTCTCCTCAACCTCTAAAGTATGTCGGACTACACAACTAGTGGAAACTATGGCACACGCAAAAAAACAACAATTAGCGGTAGAGATTTACATACGAGGCTCAGCCCATTCAGCGTCCTAGTCTCCAAGCAGCATCCCACCAGGGCATCAAAGTGGTGAAATGAGATGATAACCCTCCTAATATGTACTATCGACGGTCCCCTGATTGCGGAGAGACCAACGCTTGCGCAATTCAAATCAATGCAGTCAGTAGTGACAAAACTTATCCATTTGGCTCTAAGGTAGTACAGTTTCCCCCCTGCGTAGCTGCGGAAGCCTAGCCTGCACTCGTAAATCTAAAGAGAAGCATGAGGCGTTTAAAGAGAATTACTCCGAAATAGCTTGCTGGAAGTTGGTGAGGAATAAAGACAGATAATAACAGCGAATTAATGTAAGCCGTTAATGCAAGAAGAACAGGATGAATCAGGACACATAAGGAACGAATCACGTCCCAGACATAGTTTTCGAACAAATTCAGTTCAGAGAAAAAGAAAAAGACAAAATAGATAGTGTACCTTTTTGTTTATGGGGCAAAATGTGTTGAGTCAATAGTAGGTTTTACGATTATTACGATATCTTTAAGTTCCTTAAGAATAGACCTAGGTTGTGACAACCCAACGCACACAATCTTCCCTAAGACCCTGCTGCCTCCATCATTACGGTCTGGAGAATGATAATGATATAACTAGTGTATTATTGCCGCCTGGAACTAAAATCTGGTGTTTTAGTACCTAAATCCCAAGCTTTCCTATGATAAGGTACGAAGCATCTATTTATTGGCGAGTCTATGTTCATTTTAGCTTCATTGCTCCGTACTATATCGCTAAAGCATGGAATACATGACAATGGAGATGCAAGTATTTGGGTTACGCGATTAGTAGAACAGATAGGGACTATGTAGATATTTGTACCTAGACGCTTTATCTTTCTAGTACACAAGTTAGCGACGTGAACAAGGGACATGAACTGGGGATGCGTTAAATTGATCAATCATTGACTAATAATAATATTCATAACGGTTTATCCCTTCTTCTTCAAATAGAAACGGACACTAGAAACACCAGGTCTTGTAAAACTACCCGAAAAACACCAGTTTATAAAACCACCATCTCCATGATTCAGTAGTTCTCCTTGATCAAACACAACAGTGCGATATACCCGTGTCTTACCACCAATATCATTATACTTAGTATATGTTTCCTCGATACAGTTGTCCATCTTTAAGAGATATTCGAGCTCGGTGTTAATAGTAAGTGTATTGTAGCGGCGTCCATGGCGTTGGTCATAGATATAAGCATTTATCCCTCTGACCCATTGCCCCCTATCAGTTGCCTTAGGATCGCTGTCGGTCACTGCCTCTGGAAGTTCTTCGGATAAAGAGAATTGTGGGAGGCCACCTAGAGACTCCTGGCCTCTCCCAGATGCTGCTGTAGATTTCAGATCTTTGGAGATTTGACGTGCCGATTGTTTGTGGAAGATCTTGGTGATGACTTGAAAGAGAGTAAAAAATAAAAAGAGAATAAGAGCAATAACGGCGGTACACCAGAAGATAAAAATGGTCTCCATAATCACGCGATTTCAGGTGACTTGGATTGTGAATGGTCTATTGTATGTGCGATGAATCTAAATATGTTTAGATCCCCTCGGAAAGGACAATGGATCATTTTCTAAGTAAATAGAACACGTTAATCTCACTACATCATTGAGCCTGGCATCAACCCCGCACGAGAAAGCCTCTGATGACTCAAGAATGTCCCATTCATATGCCTTTCGACATGTCAGCAAGCACATTTGTGTCCACGAACTTCCTTCACAGAACCAATCGATCTTGGTCTAGACGAGAAAATATGGGCCCTGCTTACTTCTATTCCATATGACATGCGTTAGGTCTTACCACCTGGCCCCAATTTTGTAATGAGGCTTCCTCAAGGCGTAAACAAGCGTACGTGGAAGAATCTGCTTCGCTGGATCTCGGTGAAATTACACCACTACCAAAGGCGGGCGCAGGTTAAATGCTTTTTGTCTAATAGTGAGACGGGGGATATAATGCCTCGTAACTGAAGGTACGACTAGGCTATATGAATATATATAGATACATCTACAGCGGCCCGAGCTCTTATCCTTTTGGTAATATAGTGCAGTGGATAGCACCCACTCTATAATTCTCAAGTTAAACAGTAACCTGTTCTCTATCCTACCTAGTCTTTACGGCGATTCGACTCCAATTCAGGAATCCCCACACTTATGGTGCCCAAATTTGGCCAGATAGCCTGGGTTAAACACTTGGAATGAAGACAACTCACGAAGATCACCAAAATACTGCCGTCCCGGCGCCCTGTCTGTACCTGTAGCCATGGAGGCAATCGGCGTGGCGGGAAGCCTCATTAGTATCGGAGATGCACTGCTGAAAGGATGTAAACTAATCCATTCCTTGAGAGTCAGCTTTTCTGAGTGCCCTGCTGAACTGGATCGTCTCTGTAAAGCTATGGAGAGGTTAGAGCGGATCACGACAGAGATTAAGATTCTCGCCCCCGATGAAGATGACTGGAAATCTTCTAGTCTTGGTTTAGACTGGAAAGAGCACCTTGATGAGATAGATTCACAGGTCGGCTCGTTTAATGCCAAGCTAAGACATCTCAGGAACTCGTTGAATATAGGCTCAAAGCGTAGGGCCATGGCTAGCAGGTTCCGAAAGTTCTTGATCGAAGAGAATTTCAACAAATATGAGGACATATTCAGCAGACATCAAGAGAATTTTCAACTCATTCTTGCCATTATATCGCTGTGAGTCAATAACCGATGTTTTTATGCCACTGAGCTTCCTGTCACCTTAATTGTGCGGGTCTTGGATGGCTGACGAGGAGGCACGTTCAGGCGCAGATCACAATCTATGTTTGAAGAGATCAAGAGGCAGGGCGAGTTGATTGCTTTGATCAAACAGCAGAGCGTACCAAAAAATATAGCTTACTCGAGTATAAGCTACCAACCTGACGCACAGGCCTTAAGTTACTTCATAACGGATGGATTAAAGACTGAAGCCTTGCGAAAGCTTTCTCAATTCGTCGGAAAGGATGCGTACGAACTCGAGGCAAAGAAAATTATAAGATCTGCTGTACGGAAGTCCCCGACTTTGGATTTCAAGGCCATAAACTATACAGAAAGTTCACCAAAGGGGATGCAACGGGGGATTCAACTGCCCTGTGCCGTTTCATTAAAGGCTCTTGAACCAAAAATCAAATACGTCTTCAGCTGCAGATTTTTCAACGTGAATTTACCACTTGGTATTATTCACGGTGTTAAAGTACGCAGATCGAGAGTCACAAAGAGCCTTTTCATGGAGAAACGCGAAAATGAATGGTCTATTCGGCTGTCACTGTATCCTCTCTGTATCCTCACCAAAGTTGTCTTCCGCATCTTACTACGCTGGTCATCAAATGGATCTTTCACATTTCAGCCCAATGTGGAGAGGTGGAATACGAGCTCTAAACTCATTCGGTGCTTCGATGAAGGAGATGCAGACGGACTTTATAAGATGTTCTCAGATGGCCAGGCTACTCCAAGGGACCTGATCCCGCCATGGGGAAACACTCTCGTCTATGTAAGTAAATTTTAAAGGGCAAGCGGTCAGCAAACAACTAAGTTGGTTGTTTAAAGGAAGCAGTTTCTAGGTATGCCCTAGGCAACAAACATATGATCCATATATGTGAGATCTTGATACAACATGGGGCGGATGCAAATCTCCCAAATCAGAAGAGACGGTACGTAAGACCCTATATTCATAGGTTTTATTCGCTTATCATGATACCTGCTTGTGACGTTTTCGTAGCGTTCATCGTGCCAGACTAACCAATCTCGCTGTGTAGCACACCATTAATTCAATGCTCCAAGTTGATGCTTCAAGGGCAGGCGATGAATGAACGAATGTTGCCATTAGCAAGCCTTCTATTGGAAAGTGGCTCGGATCTCTCATACCGTGATGAAGACGGCTACTCTTCTTGTATGCTCATCTTCCAATCCAAAATGGGATTGGATTATCTTCAAGACCATGTTTGCCACTTTTGGGATCTCGAAACGTTCAGCAATTTTGACAATGGCGACCTTTGGCTTATTTCGTCCATTGCGAGGTGCACGCCAAGGCTACTTCGAAAATTGGAGTTACAGAACAAAGAACTGAGAACGCCTATGGAAATATCTTCTAGCATCCGCCCTCGCATCGAGAACATTGTTGAGCTGACGGCTGAACAACAGGTTGCTTGGGTCATAGCGGCCGCAGCCAAAGATCGAGTCCCGTTTATGCAAACACTCTGCTCATGTGGTACTCTTGCAATGGCAAAGCCATTCATTGACTCTAGTCTGGACCTCGACGAGATAGTTGGGGATTCCTGGGGTATGACATATCTTCGATCCGCCGCCAAAGCTGGGAATCTGGAAGTCGTCAAGGCTCTGATTGAAGCTGGTGCAAAGATGGATCAGAAGGCTCTGTACTGGTTATCTGACCACTTGTGTACTTCCGTTCTTGATGAATTCCTTTGGCGCTGGCGCTATATCTCCCTAGGCAAGCCAGTGCTTGGTCGTGGCACCCCAAGTATCAAATCCGAACTCTGGATCACTGATACCATCCTAAGCCACCCCGACTTCACAGGACCTAATGCCCTTCTATTGTCTATTTGGCCAGGTGTGGACCGAGATATTGTTTTAAGCATTATGAAACATGGTATTGGACGCCGGGATGGCCAGCCACCAGTCACAAGACTCATGAAGGTATGGGGCTCAGAAGTGATACAAGCAACCAAAACTAGGTTGCCGTACCTCAAAGACATGCTACACTACGGCCTTGGAGTTGATTGCGAAGATGCTATGGGATGTACTGCAGTACTTTTCGCTATTGATCTGGCTGCAGAAAAAGAATTAGCGCTCCTGATCAACGCGGGTGCTAATCTCACGCGGCGAACAAGATATGGCCTGACACCTTTAGAGTTGGCAAAGAGCAATCTTGAAGCCGACCACCCACGCCCAGAGCAGAGAGCATTTAACAGCATATGGTTTCAAGCAAGAAAAATGACGCTGGAGCAGGACCAAAGAATTTATCATATGCTTTCAAAGGCGATTCATGTCCAGCGAAGACTCCCATTATGTGAGCCGACAATCGTCGTCCCTAGAGATGTGCATATTCAATGAACGAATGAAGCCGGCTAATCTTTTATTTACAGTACTTTATAATGAAAAGGACTCAGACTACCAGGACATCTATCAATTTAGTCTCATCTTGGCTCTTATTTTAAGCGTTTGTTGTCTTATTATTTTGCTGGTATTCCGACCTTCAGGAAATAGTTCTTGTGACAGCTAGACCTAGGGGAGAAGAAAAGATTTTACATGATAACATCTAAAACCTTACCTTCCCATACAGCCATTATTTTCTGACATGGTCAACACTAGGCCTTTGTCCACAACATCGCGACGCCATTTTGTGGTTGAGAAAAGAGTGGAATTGGCCGAGAATGGGGCAGTCAAGGCATCAAAGCCTACTTGCAATTCGCATCAACATGGCACTACAGAGTTAAGAAGCGTTGGGGGGTAAGAGTCCTAAAACTTCAAAAACGCCCTAGGCAACCTACCTTAAAATATCATAATTACAATAAATGTGAATATACACTATGTAGTTATTACTGAAATTTATTGCACTGCTATTTTGAGCCGAGACTAATGATGCTCGAACTAATCCCGTGAGTATTTGACACAGAGGCTCGGGGTCTGTAGCCACGATAATCTTTACATGAGTCAAGTCCAGTCTAAGCTCAGAACCCATTATTTCACCTGGTAAAAATGCTGTCCTCCACTGTAGCCCCTGTTCATATAGCTTTTCACGCCTTCGGCGTGACTAAATCTCGTAAGATCGCTTTCTGCCTGTTATTAAGTGCAAGGGGCTAATGCTATTAAAAGTACTTGCTGGCGACGGGACGCGGCCCTTGAAGGAGCTGCTGAACATGGAAGACTGAGTATACTTAACACACTACTCACTGAAGGGGCATCGGGCTTTGGTGCAGATGAGATTGAAACCGCAAAGGCGCTTGCTGAGAACGAAGGGCATCGAGGATGTGTAGAAAGGCTCAGACTAGCGCTTTATCGATTAAGCAACGACAACAAAACTCCCTTGTTGCTTCGTCTTTGAATCTACAGTTGGCTATATTAGGGATGAAAAAGAATCGATTTCTGTTGTTACTATCAAAATGAAAGGGTTGGGGCGGCGAGGCTGAAGCATCTCACCAAAGCTGTAGGCTCAGCCTTGATAGTAAAATTGTGGTTAATCATATGCCCGTTAATTTACGAGTATTATCTTGGTCAACACAAACGTAGTCAAACCTAGCCTAACTTTAAAATAATTGATTGAAGGAATTGAATTGGTATAAGATGGGTTTTGAAGAGCCGCAGTGTAGAATCTCTATTCTCCCTTGTCCAAAGTGGGAGGAAAGATATCTACCATCAACTGCCCTTCATCCTCTCGAACACCACCAAGAATCCCATCCGTCAATACTGGGCCAAGCGTGACATCAAACATGTCCTGAGTGTATTGATCCGGCATCGACCAATTCTCCCCTTCATATGGTGTAGAGAGCCCGGCCATGAAGCCCGCATCAAGCATGGCGTCGATCTCTGGCACGTTATCTGCAGGTTTCTCGCACTTCTCAATCTTGCAGACACTCTTCTCAATTTCTTCCACACACGGCCATGTTTCCTTGATAGCCTGCATGGCTTGGACTATTAGGTTCATTTCCTTCTCCATCTGGTGCATATCTTTATCGAGCCAGCGTCGCATGAGGACCGTACTTGCTGCTACGGAGAGCGTATGTACGAAATCGAGAGGCAGCTCTTCGTAGCGGTAAAGACGGGAATAGCTACGCATTAATCGTAAGATGGCCTGTAGAGACTCGTAGCATATCTCTACATCTTCGCTTGAGGAAATGTCGGGAGTATTAAATGAATGGCGAGGTGGACGGTGCAGAATGATCATCGAGGTATGAAATTGCATGCTTTCAATTTGTTAGGAGAAGCATATTCGAAGTGGTATAGAGACTTACTGAAGATATAGTACGCATGCTGGAACATGACCAACCGTCCACTGGTTCCAATACAGTTTACCAGGTAGACTTGAAAGCCACTTGGTTAGATCAGTATGGATGCGCTGAACTGTGGCAGCGATAGCAGCATTGTGAGCCCCTGGCCGTCGATTCTCGAATAGATCTGTGATGATACAATGCTGAATCTTGGATAGCTCCGCCCTGTAAATAAAGGCACCCACGAGCGCAATCCCGTCTTCGTATGCGGTGATGGATATACCTGGAGCGATATACGTGTCTAGTAGTCCCTCCCAATCTGTTGGGTACGGCAGGCGAACAGTGTTTCGGACATCAGACTCATGAGGGTAGAGGGCTGGAGGACGACCAAAGTATAGACTGAGGTTCTTGTCGGCGATGAACGTAGCCCAGTAGACTCGTCTGAGTATCTCGCGGTCTACCTCTGATTCGGCAGAGCCACTCCAATTGTTCGGATCGAGATGAAGGCCCATTTCATGAGCCAGTCTGAAAGCAATGCCGCAAAAGAGCCAACCCTTGGATGGTCGACAGTGGCCAATCTCGCGCTGCCCAAGGAGGACAAGGGCTTGCAGAACGGTGAGATCGGGCTGGTCAAAGGACGGGAATAGCAGAGACTGCGCCTGTGTTGCGAATATCTCGGAAAGACCACGATCGGAAGGCTCGCTAGAAGCTAATGCACCCATGGCACAGATGGCATACAGGAGTAGGTCGGAGTAATAACGCCCGGTACCGCAATCATAGTCTCGAAGAAAATACTCGCGATAGATGCACATGTTGTACTGGTATTGTTGCTTGAAGAAGGTTGCCATGAGCCGCTGACAGACATCATCGTGGGGAGCAAAAGGGAACGGGGTTTGAGTCATCACGGGGCCCATGTGATGGCTTGATGAATCTGCATTCGAGGGACTTGGTGATTCTTCACTGATCGGATCGCCCGTTGGAGCAAGATATTCCCCTGACAGGTGAATCTGAAACAAGCTCGTGCCGCCGTAGAAACAGGCCGCGCTGCTCGAGATGCGCTTCCTCATCTGGCCGGCGGATGAGCGGGCAAGACTTGTTTCGGAATGCTCGGCGGCGTCTTCTGGCGATCTGACTTCCTGCGTTGAGGTGGTGCTGAGAGAATCTTGGGGCGCGGTGTTTGTGCTGGCAGGCTGGAAGGCAGCCAACATATGGTCTCGCTGGTCGGCATCGGCGATGGCAACTTTCTTTATGAAAATCTCAAGAGACGCGACTTGGTTCTCCAAGGCCTGCACATATCTCCGTGATATCGGCCTCTGCTTCTCGCCCGTCCCCGCGCGAGTGCATTCAGTGCCCGCCTTGACACATCGTGCGCATGGCTGTCTGCGGTCGCATTTTATCTGATGCAGCAATAGTTGTTAGCTCGGGCGCAGATATCAATTCGATATCTTGGTCAGTACTTGCCTTGCGCCTCCGGCAACGGACACATCTGACGTGGTGTTAACGGTGGCGGTCGAGGGTATGTTGGACATAAGCGCACTCACGAGACAGTTGTTGCTTCTCCAATAGCTGTCTTGGAGCTTTCCACTGAACTTTGATCCATGATACGGACGGTTTGGGAAGTCGGTAGAATCAAGGTCAGAACCCTGCTTGATCATGAAGTGAGGAGGAGGTGTGGTTGTGGAGGGCTCCCGATAAAAGTGCCACATGCCATTAGTCACTGACTCGTGTGCATCTTGATCCACTTCGACTGATAAAGACTTAGAGACTTGGACTAGACTAGCCATTTCGACCGAACTACTGTGTATCAAAAAGCTGGGGATGACCGACTGGGCGGATTGGCCCCCTTTCTCTGGAAGTGTCCAATAGGCATCGTTCGACGGGGTTTAAGCTGGGTGGTTAATCCCGAGGGATTTTGTTGCCGGTAACGATCTTAAGGATTCTGGGTCGCATTTGGATGGTTGGATGAGTCTACTGATGGAATGTTGAGAATAGTGGCGTTCTTATCCAGTGGTTGATGTGTGAAGGTCCGTGAATGTGCCTCCACGATTCATTGAAATTGTCAAGCCTTGTTGAGTTACCATCCTATCAAACGAATACCGAATTGGTGAGTTTTAAGGACTTGCAGCTTCTTTGATCTCTCCCCACATCATTTCCGAAGACCTGGGTTTATGGTTGTGTTACCGGACAGCAAGAGACTTCTCACTCATTCCATGCGTTTGACGGCCGCGGACCTCCGGCAAAAGAACGAGCCTTTTCAAATACATCAGTTGTATTACATTCAACACAGAATTTATCACGAGGGGTGGACTTCCGTGCAAGCATCATAGGTTTAGTCCCTGTAGTGCGTCTGTCTGTCTCTACCTCCCCGCAATCGCGGTGGTGGAACACCGCTGCCGCGATTATCATCGTCTTGGTCCACGAAATGGGGTTGGTCAAATCGGTGCAGTTACGTGGAGGTTATATCGTATTAGTTTTACTTTTAGAAATCACGATATGGATGATCAACCCTCCTCGTTTTCGATCATTGTGTTTCGGTCCTAAATTTGATGCTTCAAGTTGTGAATACTTCCATCCCCATCAGTAAAACATCGGCCCACAATGCCCTCTGCCAACGGAAATAAGGCTGGGATCTTGAAGACTGGTCAAGATGTCCGCCTCTTGTCACGTTCCAACAAATGTGGAAATACCTCGGGCCTGGCTCCGGGCTACGTTCAGACCAATTTGATAGTCTTGCCATCTCGCTATGCTTCAGACTTTCGACTGCTTTGCGCAAGAAACACAGTACCCTGTCCTCTGGTTGCAGAGTCAGCTACTACCGGAAACTGGGGCAAGATCAAGTCACACTTGCCAGGAATCGACGGTGAAACTCTGGCAAAAGACCTGGATATCCGGCGCGATGCACCCAAATATAATGTATATGTCGATGGAAAACTTCATAGACGAGACTGTGAGGATATTGTCGCAGAGTGGACAGAAGACCATGTGGCCTTCCTCATTGGATGTTCTTTCAGTTTTGAGACTGCCTTGGCTGATGCCGGTCTAACACCGCCTCACACGCTTAGAGGCCGCAACGTGCCCATGTATCGCACTACGCTACCGCTCTGTGCGGCTGGGGTATTCCAGGACAGCACATATGTTGTGTCTATGCGATCATACCCGGCGTCTGAAGTCGAGAGAGTACGAAGCATCACCCGTCCTTTTGCCTCCACGCACGGCGAGCCGGTGGCTTGGGGATGGGATGCCCTGGAGCGACTCGGCATCCGGGATATCGATTCACCACAATGGGGAGATGCGCCTCTCGCGACAATTGACGGAAAGCCCCTCAGCAGCTTTAAGGACAATGAGGCAGAAGTGCCTGTCTTCTGGGGCTGCGGTGTCACTCCGCAAGAGGCTGTGATGCGAGCGAATCTCGAGGGCGTGGTGATGGCTCATTCGCCTGGGCACATGATTCTGTTGGATACCTTAGATCTTGAAACAGTTCGCAAGTTTTGAAATAACATGGAAAGTAAACTCAAATAGAAAAATTACACAATAATATACATGGTTCGTCACCGACAAGCCTCCCTTCTGGTGTCACCGGTACTGGCGTATTGAGTTCTCGGAGAACTAGCTCCGTGATTCTAAATTGACATAGCCTTGTGATGTAATAAAGAGATATGACCCGTTTTGTTTACATGTGTTTCCTGTGGCATATCTGATTAGCGATATTAAATATTAGTTTCAACAAGTAGAAGCTTAATCTCGTTGAGTTGATCTAGTGGACACGGCTTATTTATGCATGTTGGGATCGAAGAGCTATCTTGTTAATTTCATCTCCGTGTGAATTCAGGGTAATCTATGCAAATCTCACCTGCGATAGATATTCTTGAAGGATCGGAAGAATCAGCCTCAGAGTCTAGATTATACCTCATGAGGGGCGATGGGAATCAGAAAAGGACAAGCCCTCTGCTCCAAGGTGTTTGATTAAGAATAGACCAGCACATAAGCTATAGAATAAAAAGCTTCACGCGTATTTCCGTCAGAGACAACAGATTCCTAATAAACATAGCGGAAATCAAGCGCTCCTTCACCAGTAGTTTCCTTCCTATCGTCGTCGCGCTCACCGTTGGAGATCTGTTCCTTCTTTCGGTTGAGAGCTCTAAGATACAGAATCTGGACCGTAATAAGAATGATACAGATGATTGAGGAACCGAGAGAGCACCAATGCCCCAACTGATACGGCGCAGTTCGATACACTTGTGGTGCAACAACACCTGCAATATTTCCCACGGTTTGCTGCAGACCAATTGCGGTGGCTCGGCGGTAATGGGGGGCCATGTTATTGTTGATCCCTAAGGGTTATATCAGCATAGAAATTTCCTGCATTTGCGTCAATGATTTGTACACTTACAGATTTCGTTCAAACCTGGTCCGCAATATAGGGGGATTGCAATGAGGAAGCATGCGAAATATCGTGCACCAGGGCTGTTGGAGACACCGAGCAGAATCGCATATCCGATGACAGCGAAGATATCAAGTATTCCAAGGAACTACCTGAAGTTAGCAAGAAAAAAGATATCTGATCATTTCACCGGGTTCAATACTTACTGTACCACGGAGCTTATACTTGTCTCCTACAATTGCAGCGGCCTAAAGGAAAGTCAGGCCCTGGACTAAAAAGTCGTATCACTAAGAGGACGACTCACAAAAAAGGAAACTCCTCCGAGAAAATAGACAGGAACACTCAGGTACTGGGCTTCCATTGAGTTGAAACCAAGATCGAGCTTAAGAATAGAAGGCAAGAAAGTGCTGAAGCCATAGAGTACAATGTCTTGGAAGAATTGGATAAAAGCACTGGAAGTAATAAATGAGTTGATGGTTCTTGGACTTGGATGATGGAAATAGACATACCACAGCCAGACCTTGGGATCCTTGAGCGCTCGACCGACCTCAACCCATTCGAAATTCAGATTTCCAAGATACTCAAGGCGTTGGCGGTCCCGAGCAAGCATAACCGCTTTCTCTTCCAGTTTCCAGAATTTGGCCTCGGATGGGTTATTGGGCAGTCCCCAGAATACCCAGGCAGCTGCAATGAATGAAATGCAACCTTCGATAATGTACAGCCAACTATTCTGGGAGTTAGCCTAATCCAAGGGTCATCGTAAGCTGCTCTCCGTGGATGATTCTTACCTCCAGGCGTTCAGCCCATGAGCATGACCAATCTTGGTGATACCTGTGGCGAGCAGGCCGCCAAACATGCCGGCAAGGGCGACAGATCCGAAGAGGTATGCCATCCGGCGACCCTGCATGCTCTTAGCATGCCGTCAGATGAGGTTGATGGAATTTCACATACCTGTTCCTCTCTCTTGTAGACCATAGTGATGTACAAGCTCAAACTAGGGAAGAAACCAGCCTCACACAAACCGAGAAGAAGGCGAACGGCGACGAGCTCCCCGTAGTTCTTGACAAAGGCAGTTCCGATGGTGATTGTTGACCAACCGATAACCATCATGGTTATGGCTCTGCTCGGCTTCAACTTCTTCATCGCCAGAACGACCGGGATCTCGAAAGCAACATAGGTTGCAAAGAAAACACTGACGGCGGTACTGAATTGCGCACCCGTCAGTTTCAGATCCTCGGTCAAGCCCACGATGGCGGCATTTCCAATATTGCTTCGGTCGAGATAGGCGATGAAGTAGAGGACGGCAAACATCGGAGCGAGGCGCAAGTCGAGCTTCTGAACGACCTTCTTCTCAAGCTGTCGATCTGGAATGACGATGGTGGACGCGTCCTCGAGCTGAGGGTCGGCTATGGTTGCCTCCATGTCTTGTTTTGAAGACAGCTCATGGTCGACATGTTCGTTTTCTGGGTTTGGAGACATTGTGAATATGTGTATCTGAGGTTGCGAAGTCGAGTCTGGGTGGGATGGATGAGTTGCAAGTCGCTGGGTGGTTTTTGAAACGACAGGGCGAACTTTTATGTCAAAGTCGTAGACTTAAGCCGAGTCTAGATCCTTGCTAATCCGACCTAGACCCCCTGTCCCAAAGTAGACTGCTAATTATCTTGCGCGTGGTATCGATGCTGGGCTTACCCCGGGTTTCATCACGTATCTGGGGTAACTGATCAAAGTCAGTTCATGACGAAGAGAAGGGCGGTGGTGGAAGGCCGCTCCCGTGGGTGAAGAAAGCTCTTAGGCAACATGGCCAATCAGAGCTGGATACGAGATAGCGAGTCAGGATCGTTATTACGGTGGTGGAGACTGGGTGGAGGAGCGCGGCGATGGAAGTCCGTCTCTTGGTCTTGTGGCCAACCTTTCTCGATGGAGTCAGAGTTCACATAAGTGGAGAATTGCAACTGATCGTCTTGGACTGACAAGGGAAGCGGACATGCGCCTACCTGGCCAGCTTAATGAGGTTTTTGCATGAAAAGAAATGTTACAATATTTGTATATGAAGTAGAGAATATCTAGCCTCTCGGTCTCTTATTGATGTATCACTAAACAACATTCTCTGAAAAAAAAAACATTACTATTACATTTCATTCATCTCGCATTAAGCCATGTCTCAGTCAGAAATTCAAATTGTCGGCTACATTGGTCTCGGCCTCGCCGGTGGCCCATTGGCACAGAATGTGGCCCAGAAGGGTTACAAGACTATCGTTCGTGACGCCAACAAAGAGCGCCAGGAGCAATTTGTCAAGGATAACGCTAGTCTTCCTGTAGTATCTGCCGGTGATGGGCCAGACGCATTCAAGGACGCAGATATCATCATCACGATGGTGCCAAACGGCCATATCGTCCGCGATATCTTGCTGGGTGATAAGGGCATCGCTCCCCACCTGAAGCCAGGTAAGATTTGAGCTCTGGTGACCTCTCGGTTTCTCCTTGTGGTCGAGTAGCGCATTATAACTGATACGAACTAGGTGCTATTGTTGTCGACACTTCGTCGTCAGATCCGTTTGGCACGAAGCAGTTGGGCAAAGATCTTGAGCAGTACAAAGTCCGACTGATCGACTCCCCAGTGACACAAGTGCGCATGCACGGAATCAACGATGGTGAAGCCACTTTCATGATTGGTGGTGCTCAAGAGGATATCGACCGCGTGCTACCTGTCTTGAAGACCATGTCTCGTTGGCGCTTCGTCATGGGACCTCTGGGAAGTGGCCATGTCATGAAGACGTTCAATAACTATATCACCGCTGCTGGCATTGCCGCGTTGAACGATGCCTTCATTGTGGGACGGAAGATGGGACTTGACCCCGTTCAAATCACTGACGTCCTTAACGTGGGAACTGGGCGTAACTATGGTACCGCCCACTCTATTCGAGCAGAAGGTCTCACTAGAACCTACGCGAGTGGTTACGGCCTTGGCCTGCTCGTCAAAGATCTGGGCATCAATCTGGATCTCTGTACTTCTATGGGCATCGACACTACTCTGGCCAAGCATATGCATGGTCTGTTTAAGGAGGCCTGGGATGAACCCAACGTTGAAAAGAGTGCCGACTACACCGAGTGTCTCAAGCTTTGGGAGCGCAAGGCTGGCTTGGAGCTTCCCACAGCCCCGACGAGTGTGAAGGAGGAAGAAGAGCCCAGAACGTTCCAGTCTCCTATTTAAATTAGATAATAAGCTAGATCAAAATAGACTACCTCATTTGCTGAGGCTTATACGCTTATCCAGCCTTTGAAAAAAGCTCAAGGAAGCCCCTTAATGTAGGTAAATGCCTGGCCAAAACATATGCTAGCGTTTATGCAAGTCGGGACTTTTAATATACATGCGCAGATAGACAGCGCGATCTTTCACATTGTAAATGAAGTATGTAAACTATCGCTTTTGTATATACGGTCAAAGGGCTTGAGTATAAAACAAAAAAATAGTAACGAAACATGCCAGACCCGACGTTTAAAACACAATGAACACAAACTTTTTGTAAAAATTCACCCATGCTCAAATCTTATGCAACGGTTATTGGCACCTCTATACAAATATATTCACACAAGATACTAGGTAGGCGCCCCTATCGCCTGCTATCGGTCAATGCGCAGCGAAGTAGGAGGCTACCCAAGTGTTATCTAGCAGATCAATAAGCAAGATGATTAAGGCCATTTAGTTCACTGGCAAGACACAGAGTGGCTGATGCTCTGGGGTCACCATGCTGCGTATTTGTGGAGGGCGGCGGTGGATGTCCGTTTGCCATGACACTCTGATTCTCGGGATGCGGGCCAGCGTCGCCGAAATGTAGGCTACAGATACTTTATCATGCTAAGGACGATACACCGTTTTCGAACTATACGGTTCCCTGCTTGATAGTAACGTTTTATCATTATCATCTTAATTCCAGTGACAGGATTTAGACGTACGCCAAACATGGACTCTCAGACATGCGCTCAAGTGAAACTGCCTGATGGCACTACTTACGAGCAACCAACAGGTATATTCATCGGCAATGAATTCAGACAATCTCACGACAAGACAGTGATTGAGTCTATTAATCCGTATACTCAGTTACCCATTGCATCGATTGCTCGGGGAAAGCTTGCGGATGTCAATGCTGCTGTTGCCGCCGCAAAGGCAGCCTTTGGTGGTTGGCGTGACACATCACCTCAGGATAGAGCAAAACTTCTTAGCAAACTAGCAGATTTAATAGAACGAGATGTTGAAGCTTTGGCGAAGATCGAGGTTTGTTTCTCACCAGATATACGATACAAAAAGCTGCCTGCTAATCAATCATTGGACTCTAGTCGATCGACGGTGGCAAGCCCGTCCACATTGCCAAGGGAGCCGACGTTCTCGCTTCAGCTGCTTGCATTAGATACTACTCTGGGTGGTATGATGTTAATTCCTTTGATAATGGTGACTTCTCCTAACTGTATTTTAGGGCAGACAAGATCAAGGGAGACACAATCGAGACCGATCCGGACACCTTGAACATAACTATAAGAGAGCCCTTGGGTGTCTGTGGATTAATTATTCCGGTCAGTATAACCCGCTGTGCCATTGCATGTCGCTTTCCGTTTGCGTATATTTTGGGGTGGTCCTGACTAAGAGCCCAGTGGAATTTTCCGCTTCTCATAACATGCTGGAAGCTTGGGCCTGCCCTGGCTGCAGGCAACACCGTGGTTATTAAACCGGCAGAGCTCACCTCACTTTCTGCACTGTACTTGGCAAAGCTTGTGGTCGAAGCTGGCTTCCCTCCGGGCGTTGTTAACTTGGTCACGGGCCTTGGCAATGAAGCTGGGCAAGCATTGACGGAGCATCCTGACGTCAAGAAGATTTCCTTTACTGGTAGCACGCCCGTTGGTAAGGCGATACTGAAAACATCTGCCGACACCAATCTAAAAAAGGTTACTTTGGAGTTGGGAGGAAAGTCACCCAGCATCGTTTTCGATGACGCCGATCTGGACCAAGTCATCGAGGCAGTTAATGGCGGCATCTTTTACAATATGGGGTATGCATGTACTCCATCATGCTCATCAAGGGGTTAAACTAATTTCTTTACTTGGCAGGCAAAATTGTTGCGCCAGCAGCCGTGTCTACGTCCAGGAGTCTATATACGAAGACTTTCTGAAGCGATTTGCCTCCCGGGCTCGACAGAATAAATCAGGTGACCCATTTGACAACAATACTTTCCTCGGTCCGCAGATTGATGGCAAGCAACACTCCAAGATCATGGGAATGATTCAAAGAGCGAAGGCAGATGGCGTGGGAGTTGTCACTGGCGGCACCAGCCCCGATGGCTGGTTTATTGAACCCACAATCTTCCGCGACGTCAAATCATCGGCCGAAATCATGCAACAGGAGGTTTTTGGCCCTGTCGTTGCTGTGGCTTCCTTCAAGGATATAGAGGAAGTCTTGGAAAAGGCGCATGACACAATTTATGGCCTGGCTGCTGCGGTATTCACTTCGGATATAAAACGAGGAATCCGCTTATCGAAGATGTTACAAGCTGGTTCAGTCTGGGTAAACAACTACAACATGATCTCACATGCTCTTCCATTCGGAGGATACGGGCAGAGTGGAAATGGCAAGGACTTGGGGTTTGAGGGCATTGAAGGATACACACAACTCAAGACTGTCAGGTTTAGTTTGTAGTATGTGTAATCATTCCATAAACCGGACGATGCAGTATGGCAATTTCGGTAATTATTAATATTTGGATCATGCAGCCAAGATGTGCTTGAATATTAACTGAACCAAGTGCCTACCCGCCAGTACGTAATTTATCCAAAATACTAACCAATGGAAAATTGCTCAGTTTCAGGGACTTTTGCTGACAACCCCGCCACCTGCGGCGGAGACTTGCGGTGACAGAAAAAAGGGAGCAGGCGAAGGCCGAGAGCGAAGGATTCACATGGAAATTATATAAGCAGCTAATGCTACGCGTTAGGAGGGTATGTACCTGCTGAAACACTACTGGGCGCTGTAAACTACTAGACAAGTGTGATTAAATTGTGTTGATCCTGGGTTTTCTGGTCGACTTCAGTTCTATCATTACTGCCATCCTAACATTGAAGTGTACGAGAACCGAGCTAAGACCACTCAGACCCAAGAGGAAATCATGTCGCATCCCCGCCAGGAGACAACTGATCCTTTGGGTAAGATACAAAATCTGAGCCCGATCGAGTGCGGAGAAGATGCGGCAAAGCACTTTCTGCACGACGCAGACTATATCAACTTAAATCACGGTACGTTGAGACGCTTACTGCCTTGATAGTGGAACATATTGCTCATTTATGTCAGGATCTTACGGCACATATCCGAGGGAGGTTCGCGACGTTCTTCGTTACTACCAAGATCGAGCCGAAGCTAGGCCTGATGACTTTGTTCGCTATCAGTATCGTGTTCATCTACTTAGAGAGTCTCGAGAGGTACTTGCAGAGTACTTGGATGTCCCAGCTGAATGCTGCGTCTACGTCCCGAATGCATCCACAGGCATCGACACGGTTCTGCATAATTTCAACTACAAGCCCGGAGATGTGATTATCGGGTTTCCCACAATCTATGATTCTTACGAGTCTACTGCCAAGTACCTCAGCGAGGTTACACCCGCGGAGTTCAAAAAGATTGAGTACACTTATCCGGTCTCCGATGATTTTATCTGCCAGACTTTCGAGGATACCGTAAAGGAGCTCCTACAAGCGGGAAAGAAGCCTAAAATTGCATTGTTTGACACTATATCCTCTCTTCCCGGGCTTCGAATACCTTTTGAGCGCTTAACGAAGCTTTGCCGCTCCTATAACGTTCTGTCGCTCATCGATGGAGCCCATGGAGTTGGTATGATACCGCTGCATCTCCTGCAGTTGGATCCTGATTTCCTCGTCAGCAATTGCCACAAGTGGCTGTACACTCCAAGGAGCTGCGCGTTTCTATACGTGCCAGTCCGCAACCAGCATCTCCTCAAGATAACATTTCCGACCGGTTTTGGTTTCCTCAAGTTTCCCAAGGACGAGGACGCCCGGAAGTTGGTGCCGAATAATTTCATCGAAAACTTTGCCGATCTCAATACGAGGGACGACACTACTTATCTCTGCGTCAAGGCTGCGCTGGAGTGGAGGAAGAAGTTGGTATGGAAAGATAAAAAAGGAGAGGAGGCTATTATGAACTACCTGTACTACCTCGCGGAGCAGGCTGAATCCATCTTCGCTACGGCGCTCGGGACAGAAGTGTTAAGTCAGGGAATCACCAGTATGACCAACGTGCGCCTGCCCTTGGCTATGGACCAAATTACAGGAGGAGTATCCTCAAATGTAGGCGAGGTGTCGACATGGGTCATGAAGGAGATGATGGACCAGCATGGCACCGCTATCAACCTTACATTCTATAACGGTGCTCTCTGGATCAGGCTGAGCGCTCAGGTATACCTCACCGTGCAGGATCTTGAGGTTGCTGCTGGGCGTCTCAAGATCATCTGCGATACGGCATCAAAGCGCACGTGGAACTTCAGGTCTTCATAGGATGGGATTCTTTATTGTTTTACGGGAAGAGAGTATCATAGCCTGAAAAAAACAAGCTTGATCTTAAATTTGATACTCCATCTTCGAACCTGTGGGTTCTTGACATAGATCAAGTGAAAACATATATACCCACCTAGAGTTTTGCAATCTCATCACAAACTTCAATCAGCTTTGCTTTTGTTCCAACTTCCTGTTTCCTTGTTAGCATACCTCTTAGAGCGAGGGTCAGGGAAGGCGAAACTTACATTAGCACTGTGTCCCGCATCAGGAATAATATGAAGCTTTGACTGCGGCAATCCTAGATGAAGATCTTGAGCAGTCCGAGGAGGACACACTATATCGTAGCGACCCTGGACAATATGGCCTACTCAAGAATTAGCAAGAGATCGTACTGTTTTCGGTGGGTGAGTCGTACATGGAATGTGCTTGATGCGCTCCAGATTGCTCGGTTTCAGCAATTGCCCGTCCTCAAGCCAAGCTCCATTAATAAAATAGTGGCATTCAATTCGTGCGTGCTGAAGGTTCCAGGTCTCGTTGCCATCGAGCATGGCCTGGAGTTCAGCATTCCGCAAGAGCGTACTTGCTGTGATCTCGTACTTGTTCCAAGCCCTAGACGCGGGTAGGTGAACAGCCGGATCCTCGTCAGTGAGCAGTCGGTAATATTCCGTCAGCAGTGTTCGTGTCTCATATAAGCTTTCTTCGCTTTTGGTTGTATTCGCTTTTAGGTGTCCCAGGACCTCGTCGTATTCTTCGGGGTAAAGCTGGTTAACCGCTCCATAACGAGAAAATGCATTGGCCAGTTCAGACTCTCGCACAGTGAAAATCCCGCGGAGGACTAGAGACAAAGTAGTCTCAGGGTAGGCCTCGGCATAAGCAAGCGCAAGAGTACTTCCCCAAGACCCCCCAAAGACCATAGCCCACTGGGTGATGCCTAGGTGTTCTCGCAGCTTCTCAATATCGTCGACTAGGTGCTGGGTTGTATTCTCGCGGATTTCCGCTGCGGGGGTTGACTTTCCACCTCCGCGTTGGTCCATAAGAACAACACGGTAGACCTTTGGGTCGAAGAAGGCTGTGTTGGAGGGAGACGTCCCGCCTCCAGGACCGCCATGTAGGAAGAGGACTGGGCGACCTGTTGGCAACCCGTATTCCGCATACCAGAGTTTGTGGATACTGCCAACAGGGAGGAATCCGGAATTGAAAGCATCGCTATGGGAATATCCCGTGGCTTTCGTGTTGGGGGAAGCCATTTGAAGATATCACGAGTTTGCAAGGTTACCAGGCGATCAAGGACCCAAAGATGACTCTTATGGCCGGATACCCCTTCTTAATAGTTTCACTTGGGCTAGTTTTAGTGTGTGAAAGATTCAAGTCGAGTCTGTTCAACGCTAGCCGCAATGTCTGGGCTAAGGCTTCTTCCGACGGACAAAGGAGCCAAAATCACAATCAGGAGGAATGAAGGAGGGGTATTGAGTAAGTATCGTGTGACTCACTCGATTGACTCACGAGCGAGCAAAGGTGTCTGGCCCCACAAACGGCGATACGCATTGATTCTAAGCTGACAAAAAAAGTCAGGCAAGGAAATAGTGAGGTGGCTATTAATAAACATATGATATGAGATGATAACCTTCAGTGAAATTTAGCTTTCCAAGTCTCCATTTAGTTTACTAGGTACCCAATTATGTTACTCAGATACAGGGAACTAAGTTTTGACCTTCTAAATACGAAGCCTTTGCTACTTTGCCTCACAAAAATCGTGTAAAAGATATCCATCAACCAACTCTGGTATGCTGACAGGCATCGCGATGGCTGCCTAAAGAGGCAGCCGCCGCTGATCCCGCCACCCCCTCACTTTCTGGCGAGACAACAGGCATGATGTAATCTGACACAGATGAGCTCCAGATACGATCGGGCACAAGAAGCCTTGCGACAAGTTGCAATTTATTATTTTCCTCCTTCCGAAAATTTTGAAACCGAACCCTTAAAATGCCGAGTTACAACTCAGAGCTGTTCTATCAAGATTGGCGTTACGCTGTGGGCAAGGAATTCACCACCAAAGATGGTCAACCGTTCCCTTACGCCGCAAATGGCCATTTGCACTGGGGCGATGAGCTCAAAAAGATAGAATTTGGCAGTGCGGGCAGTGCGGAACCGCGTGATGCTTGTGTGAGCGGTGATGGACAGTCGCTAGCCGTAGCCTTGCAACAAGACATTCATATCATCGACACAAACACCTGGGCCACCGTCTGTATCCTCCGCGGACATGAAGAAGAAGTAGAGGGCTTCGCCTTCGCACCTAATGACTCTAATATTTTGGTATCAACCTCTCAGCGTGATATTGGCCAAGGCGATAACCATACAGAGCCCGTCATCATTGTCTGGGATATCAAAGAGTACCAGAAGCGTCACGTTGCGATCCAAAGTCAGGCCTCGTTGGATGAGGTCGTCGCTGAAGTAGCCCAAACGGCTGCGTCCAAAATAGTTGAGAAAGGCGTGAGGGACAACGAAGATCTGCGCGGAAAACTTGAGAGGGCCATCAAACCCGGAGTGACCAAGGTTGTGGCCAGCGAGTTGGCCAAGGACGCTGAGCTGATTCGGGGACGCATAAAAACGACCGCGGGATCTCAGGTCTTCAGTGCGTCGGGGAAGAAATTTGTCTACGTACCTGGCGGTCGACTCCGAACAAACGACGTCGACGTCTGGGACATCAACATCGTTTCTACCAGCGATTTTCAATCAGACCGTATCGTGCTTCATGGTCACACCGACCTCATCACATGGACGGGGTGGAATCATGACGAGTCTTTGTTCGCAAGTGTCTCCTGGGATGAGACGATTCGAGTTTGGGATGCAAACACTGGAGATCAACGATTCTGTTTCAAAACAACCAGGCAAAACTGGACGGGCCGCTTCTCCCCCGATTCCAAATACTTCGTTGCCACCTGCGGTACTGGTGCCACGCACATTTACAATATGTCTGACGGCTCCACCGTCTGGGTCTACGAGCGCGAAGGGACAAGAGGCTGGCGGCGGGCGCTGGATTGGCACCCCAACAGTAAGTGGCTGGCAGTCGGAGGGGAATATCTGGCTCCTGTATACTTGTTGGATGTGGAGAAGAAAGAGGTCCTCCAGCAACGAACCCTCTCGCCGGAGAAGACACATTCTCAAGGGAGCCAGGACACTGAAACCGTCCGAAGCATGCTGGGCGGTTTCTTAGGTGTCCGCCAGGTCCGGTTCATTGATAACGGAAATAAGCTGGCTGTTTGGACCACTGGGGATGACAGCCTTGAGGTGTATGACTTGGCTCGGGAGGTGAAATGGAGGTTTGCGAGAGGAGGTACGGATGATGACATAGACAATACTAAGCGGAGGGACGGGAAGGGGCAGCTCAAGGCTACATATGGTTCCAAAATGGTGATTTGGGAGGATAAAGAGAGGAGGCATCCCATCTTTGCCAGCGTGGACTGTGACGGAATCCGAATCTGGTCTCTCGCGCTGACAGGGCCTTGAAAGAGGTCAGTGATAGGATGAGGAGGCAACATGGAGCCGGAAACTTATATTTGGAACAAACGAGGCTTGCTCTTAGGGATCGGACAGTGCGTGTGGAGGTATTGAAAATTTGGGCCAAATGCAAAAAATGCTCTTGAAAACGTGATGGCCTCTTGATAAATTTTAAACCTCATGATTTGCCATTTTGGCTCTAGGAGGTTTGGACTGACTTCGGTCTTCTTATCATTGTGCTCTATCCAATGCACCAACATGGATATATTGCGTACGTACGGCACAATAGCTACTTTCTTGAACCGGCTTGTAGTTCCGCCTTTGGACTATTAGAAGAGAAGAAAATAGCTCTCAAGTACAGTTTCTGGTATTGATTGTCCAAACTGTATCAGCTAGGTTTAGCGAAACCAAATTAGGAGTTCCCAAACCCAACCCAACATGATGGAATATACTGTGTCTCTGGATGATAATTCTACGTTGTGAAAGCCACCCAAAGCTCTACTTTTCTTACATTTCTGAATATTCCTCCTCGGCGGTGTCAACTTCCTACGAATCTTCCCATTCTCCGCATCAATGTTCTTCAATAACCGACACGCTCATAGTAGTAGCTTCGAGGAGAAGGCGGGCTTTCGCACGTTCAGTAATTATGAGGTGATAACTAAAACTGACAAAGGTTAATACAGTTGAAATATTGGAGTCTCTAAGACCGCAAATCACATATCGTCTACTCCAGTAAACCAAATGAAGCAAATTTGAAACAAGTCTTCGGTATTATGTTCCATGGGTATGCAAAGGTGTGTTGAGTTGATACGGGCAATAGTGTCATAATTCCTCACTATTCAACACCTATCTTAGAGTCGTACAAGCATAAGTGTGACAGGTGGGTATTTTCAAGCTTTTATTCACTGAGATCGCGTGACGCCCCTTTACCCGAGGTTGACAAATCCTACGTTAGGATACCGCAGTATGCATCTACAGCCTGCAGCCTACGGTATGTTTTTCCCGTTCCAGCTGTCTGTTGGTAAGACAAATCCTACACAAAAGTCCTCAATAGCAGCCCACAACATGTTTTTCTCGTTCCAGATACCTGTTGGTAAGACAAATCCTCTGTATAGCGGCAGCTAATGAGCATCACGTTAGCCTAGGGATTTGTCTGGCCATTCCTCTACCGGTCCTTGTTCCTCATCCACCTCGTCATGCATGCCTACGAGGCACCGTTTGCGCCTCCTCCACCACGTTATCCCCACCTCAAGGCAGGCAGACACGCCATGAGTCACGCTGAGCCGGAGGATTGTGTGTGCGCATAGCTGCAGAATACTTAATACACCAAGACAGATATCACGGAAATGACCTCCAACTTAAAGTTCTATATACTGCTCCGCCGTGAGATTGTTTACCTTTATTTGCAGCCCTACCACGCTTGCATTCAAATCATATCAACTATATCAACTTGAAGTACTCTCGGCTTGAGCTCTCAAACCTTAGACAATCGAATTGAAATGCTCTGCTCCATCTGTTCCACAACACTTATGGGCATATGGGACCCATCCAAAACTCCACGAGTCTGTCAAGTCAAGGATTTTCTAGACGACCACAGTATTCCTGGATTCGAGTTACCTGAGGACGGACCAGACGACCCAGACCACATTCAACCAAAGCACCACGTTTTCGGCCACCACCCTTCACAGAATTCCTTCGAGAAGTCTGTCCAAGATGGGTGTTTTCTGTGCTGCCTTTTGGACTCCAAGGGCCAGGCTTATGGGGATGGCAAGATTCGAGATCTTGACAAACTGGGATATTATTCCGTTCTTGCCATTAATTTTAAGCTTGCCAATGCGCCAGTCTTTGTTTTATTCTCTTCTCAGTGCTATATACAACAATTTGTACAACAGCTCGAAGGTGTGTAATCACTACTTTGATATTTTATCTTGTGAATTAATGAACTGACAAGCTATCCAAGGCTCTGTGGCAGATTTCAATCTTAGAATCAGCCCCTCAACTCAAGACAGTGCAACCTGGGGCCTAATTCAAGGTTGGCTAGATGCATGCCTCCAATCTCACACACGATGTAATGAGCCGAAAAATCCCGCCTTTATCCTAGACCATCTTCTTGAGCTTAATATTGATTCTCGGACCTTCCGCTTGGTTGCTGCTGCTGAGATTAAAGCTGGCACCCGTTACTGCACATTGACCTACGCCTATCAAGTGGATGATGCTGAGATCACACGCTGTCCTATTCAACAATCACAACCCCTCTCTATCCTACCTCAAACATACCAAGATGCCTTCACCGTGGTGGAAATGCTAGGTCTGAAGCACCTTTGGATTGATCATCTCTGTTTGATTCAAGATAGCCAACTGTCGCTAGAACAGCTTACTATCAAAAACAGAGACATATTTTTGAACAGTTTCTGTGGCATCGGCGCCACAGGTGCTACTTCACCTTCTTCTGGGCTTTTTGTCCACAGAGAACCACAAGATATTGTTCCTGGTCTTGTTGACTTCCCTCTGGATGCTAGCGGCAACAAATCCGTCCTGAAGTTTTATCATCGAACCCCTCAGGTGGAGAGCTTTAGTGTTGAGCCAATGGTCGAAAAGCCTCATGCTATGCAGGAGCGCCTTCTAACGCCAAGAATGATACACTTTGCTTCCACACAAGTCTACTGGGAGTGCTATGGGGCTCTCAACAGTGAGCTCAATCCCCATGGCATAGTACTCAGGCCAAATACTAGACTGGGCAGAGAAGGCGAAAAGACGGCTGAGGGACGGACACTTCTCTCGATGTGGAAGCCACTCTTAGAGGCCTGGTTCTGGTCTTGTGAGGATCCCCGAGACGAGCTCCTCGGTCGCTGGAGCCACTTTCTGGGCCAATATCTCAAAGGCAGAGATGAATTCCCGCAATATAGGCTCATACGGCTCGACAGTGTAGTCGCAGAGATGAAGCACGCTCTCAAGGAGCTTGGACGTGATGATGCATACCTTGCAGGGATGTGGAAGGATACACTCCCTGCAAGCCTTCTTTGGATTGCGGTAAAAACACGACCCAAGCCAACTGAATACCTTGCCCCGTCCTGGAGCTGGGCCTCAAACAACGGTGTCATTGGCTTCCCAAGACATAGCGCAGAGGAATTTGATAACGGGATCCTTTGTGGCTTCATTAGTGGCACTTGCCAGCTCAATGGTATTGGACAACCTATTGGTGGGCATATTATTCTCAAGGGAAAGCTTCTTGTTGCAAAAGTTTCCCATGATACTGAATGGCCCCTTGAAGGTGCTACAAAAAGGGAGATTCTGAGTGTGGCTGATCCAATCACAGGTACTTGTCTAGTCGAGGCTCCAGAATCTGTGCACAAGCACCGTTGGAACATCTTCTTTGATACAGAGGAAGATAGGAGGGAATCTGTGTTCTTTATGCCGATTAAAAGGGCAAATCAAGAGAAGGGACAGCCCGGGAGTCAAGAAATGTTCTTGATTAAAGGCATTGCCCTGTATAAGGTGGACAGTGGTTTGTTCCGGCGCTGTGGCCAGGCGGATATTGTGGTAACAAACGATGAAAATGATTTCAGCAGTGTTCTAGACTCTACTGTTCAAATTATTTAGCTTAGTATTCCTCTTAGGACACTTCGGGGCCATGGAGGGGTCATTCATGTTATTGTGGTCGGCTTCAATTTATTACTAAATTTATGCCCTCATATATGTATGTTCCTATCTACCGAACAATACTCCACGTTGCCCTCTGACTCTTGTTCCCTTTTGACGGCAGCAATGAAACCACCCAGAAAGAGAAAAGCAGAATCTGTCCATCTTGAACCAAAATATAGGCTTCTCGATCATCAAGCGCGGTTCTCAACACTATGAATTTGCTGAGGGCTCGCGGGAAGTTCAGGATACGACCGAGAGTGTTGGTATGTTTCTGCGTCAGAGCCCAACTCCATCAACGTGGAGGACGGCATGCTAGTCTCCCGATAATTATTCTGGTGGTTCATCGGTATCCTACCTGGAAAATAAGCCGATCCAGTGGGAAAGATGGGTTTATTTAGGGGCGTATTGTCCGAACTGGACTGTAAATTCATCGGCTCCTCGTGTCGACGGTATCTGTTCCCCCACCAGAACCCACCGGCTACAAGAAGACCGAGGACAATCACGCCGCCAAGGACTGGACCAGCGATCCATGCCTGGCTGCTAACCGCCGAACTAGAGCTGGAGCCTGCTTCTGATGTACCTTTGGGGGGGAGGTCGCTCGTGGAGGTCATTAGTACTGCTGATGCGGTTGCTGACAGCATTTCGGTCGAGGTAACGGTCGAATCTTTGAGCGAGGATGTGCTCGTTGTCGACGATGTAATTGGTTCGCGATATACGGTATGCGCTGACCAAACAAGTCCGCAAAAGATATACTTGGCCATAGGACCGCCAGCTGGAGACGTTTGTAGAATTGTCATTGTCTGGCAGGAGGACAGACTGGTGCTGTAATGACTTTAGCTTGTGGCTCGCAAACCATTTGATGGACTAACTAATGTGAAGGCTAGGGAGACTGACCATGGAACATTGGTGATATCGGGCCCTGAAAGCGTATTATCTTCACACATGGTGTTGACCTCACACTTGGATCCGTAGTTTGGACACGGGCCAGCAAACTTTCCGGACGTCGTGAATTTCGTGTACAATGAACTTGGGGCCGACATTCTCTCAACTGGACGGAAGATTAAGTACACATTCTATATATGTGCTTTAAAAACAACTTACTGGTCGTTTTACCAGCGTCAAAGAAGTAACCTATAAATCGAGGGTCGTCCAAGTCAGAGTTGTTCGCAGATGCTTCGAGGAGGAAGCATAAGGCAACCAGACCCTTGAGAATGAGCTTGTATCCTGGCATTTCGATACAGTATGTCGTTTCAGCTGGCAAATGGTTGGAAAGTAGGAGGAAGAGCCTGAGGGGAAAAGTAGGGAAGATCAATTTGGCTCTTATTGTTCCTTCCGGTCGGTCTTAGTCATTGGGCTTTGCTGATAAGCGCCAGCCTTGTTCCTAGCCAATCATGAAATTAAATTGACGAAATTAGAAGGATATTTTCGGTGGGCGGTCTCGTGTGGTGCATGTCTCTGGCGGAATCTGGCTATCCCGATTGGCTTTTGCTGCATGAGCTGAAAAAAATGGCTTTGTGACATGTAAACATTCGGTGGCCTGGTGGTACTTTTGACTGCGTACGAGGACGAAAGCGCTTCCTGGTAGCGGCTTATCAAATTTATTTATAATTTTATGCCGTGCTCTATGATATTTGTGCCAACTTCTGCAGTTTTTCACCGGAATGAAAGTGCACTCCCCGGTCAGATTCAGTTACATACACCATGCCTACCAAGACCAAGAGAATGAATCCACCCATTTTGCACAACCGTGTATATCTAGGCTTCCTACCTTACTCTGAATGCTCCTGAACTGGAGACAACTCATTTCCGTGAATTGGTTAGGAAAGGACGTGCCATACGGTACATCTATGTGCTTTAAAACTACTAGATCTGAAATGCCATACGCATCGCGCTCCCAATAGTATATTTTTCGCCATGTGAATGGACGAATCAACCAGCTGATATACCGTTAGATGCATGATTCTTGACATATCGACAGAAAAGACAAATTTAGCCGCCATCAAGTATTCTACGCCCAAGATATGATCAAGGTTTTGAATCTTGAATCCGCTATGTTGTGCCCCTAGTCTGTTATGCTTAGATATGATGGCCATAATTCTCCCTCAATAGCCCGAAAATAAGATCCTAGACGGGCCGCGGCCAGTTTTTAAACTACCTAGCATAGAATTGGTATCGCGAAAAGGGGAGCTGAACAGTAGCGCTCCTTAGCTCTCGGGTTGGAATGCATGCCTGCATTACGGCAGCGCTTGGGCTAAATAAATCAGATGACGCGCCAACGCAATTTGCGGCTGAACAATACTATTGTTGGATAACATGAGATCTTCCCGCAGTATTCTGGAGAGGATGAGTTCTCCCTCTCGTTTCGTATGCTGATCAGCGTGTGGCCCCAAAGGCGACAACTTCACAATGAACCAGTGGCCCTCGGAAACACCCCTTAACCTCTGCTTAGAAGTCATCAAGCCTCTTTGGTATCCATTTCATCTCATATTCGAGCACCTACTGCACCCGGTTTGGTCCCACTTGTATCCTTTATCTGCTTATCATGAAGAACGGCGAGAGCAGACACGCCTCAAGGCTGCGGCCCAACGGCTGGATGACGAATTCACGCAGCTGCAAGTGAAAAATCACCGTCCGATCCCAGCCACAAAGACACCCACTTATCCCTCGGGACCCCTCTTCACTAAAGTACCTTTTGATATCCGACGCCAAATACTTATTGAAGCGTTCGGGGCTCAGACAGTTCATCTTGATCTTGACGTGGTCGAGAGGACCAGGGGCCAATGCAAGGTCAAATCTTGGCAATGGATGAACTGTGTGTGCCACAGCGAAAGGCTGGATCTACCGCACGAAGCCCTCGATCGGAGACATTCTCTTCACCGGGAAGCGCAGAGAGATCCTCTCGCATGCCCTAGAAGCAAGAGTAGACCCTCACACTCAGGGAAATGTCCTGGAGATTGTCATGTTGGTGCTTCAGGTTGGCTATTATCGTGTCGGCAAGCGTGAGTTCACTCCCTTCAGTTTCGAGATTCTTGGAAGCCAATCGAGCGAGGCGCTAATAAGAATATCGGCGTGCAGCTACGAAGAATGCATCGAGGTTCTATACCGGACGAACACAATCCATATCGAGTCACTCTCACTTCTTCGCGGTATGCATGAGTTTGTGGCCCCGTACAAGATGACCCTCATTACCTCCTTTGCGATGACCATTAGTCCAAATCTCATGATATTCGACGAAATCTTTGCTGGTCTTTCTCCAAAGGCTTGCCCAAACCCATTCAGGTTTCCTTCCTTAGCTCGGTTGCATCTTATTTGCGGGATTAAATACAGCCTGGTGTATTTGATTGACCGCTTGGTTCGGAGAATCGCCTCATCAAGAACAGAGGTTAATGTGTTCTGTGCTTCTTGGGAGGTATATACAGCCGTCGATCTCAGCCTGGCTGAGAATCAAGGTGTCGACAAAACAAAATTGCACTGGGCTGATGTTGGTGGGCTACGATGCTGGAGAGAGATGGCACCGAAAGAAGAGGTCGACTCCGATGCTTCACCTCGCGGGTACTGGATTCACCTTTCCAGTCAACTCATGCCCTCGGATCATGGTGGTGAGTGTAATTTTTGCTTATCCGATTCCGAACGCGGCTGACTTTCAAGATTTCGTATGTGATGGTCGACGCATTGGTCTCTATAACTTGCGAGATCACGAGCACAGACTGCAAAACAAGTTGATCAATGTATCCGAAGCCGAGGAAGATAGTGGCCCGGGTAGCTTCTAAGACCATAACCTCAATCCATCTTTGGGTCAAGAGATTGATGGAATGTTATAAATGACAGGAGACTCTATCACTTATGCTGTAGTCATCATCTATACTTGAAGATGAAGAGTATTCTAGTTAGACAAACATTTAGAGTCTAGTCTATGCTGAATATAATCATATATAAAGAGTTAAATGAAAGTATGTTGGTACTAAGGCGAAGAACGACTGTTGAATCTAGCGTTACAGGGTAGTCAGGCTACGAGATCTACTTCGATTTGGTGCACAGCAAGTTGATAAACGGTACGCTAACCGTCGCACTTTCAGTACTCCGGACTTTAATATCTTGAGTATTAATCAGTAATATGGCTTGGCCCAATTTTATGAAGAAAGCTTTGCTAAGGATCATTAGGGTGCGGGCGGGGAGAAGCGGTATCTGAGTTGTGAGCTCGCCCACTCTTGCGCCGCGGGCAACTTATGCCATTCGCAAGGGCACCCTGGCTAACGACCTGAGAAAGCCGGGATTAACGACCAAGTGAATGGAGCGTGAGTGAGATAAAAAAGATATGAGGGCTTCATCTCAACAAAGGGAAGTGGAATTAATGTAGACATCAGAAACGTTATCCTGAAAAATGAGCGGACCTCCTTTTCAAATCGATGACTGGCAAACGGCAGCCGCAAAGAAACGTCAGGGATTACGAGACAGCATCCCCGAGTCCCATCTGCTGCCCGCTGAGCTAGCAAAAAAGGCGGCGGAAGGGCTGTTGCTCCCTTCAGAGCCGGAGGTATTGAAATGTGGCATTCTGAATGACCTTGATATCGAAATAACCTCGATTGAAGATGCAGCGGTTCTGCTGGACCGCATTGCCAAAGGGATCTACAGTGCAGTCGCCGTGACAGAGGCTTACTGCAAGCGAGCCTCTATCGCGCAGCAGACTGTTAATTGCCTGACCGAGATAATGTACGATAAAGCTCTGGAAAGGGCAAAGTATTTGGATGATTACCTTGAGAATCATGGAAGAACGAGTGGAATTCTACATGGATTGCCTGTGTCACTTAAGGTGAGTGCTTTCTTTACCTTCTCATAACAGGGCTGACTAACTTTGTATGCGTAGGACCTCTATGGTGTCAAAGGTATACATGCAACGGCTGGACTCGCCTCATGGATCCCCAATGTCTCAGCTGAGGATTCATCGATTACCAAAGGGATACTTGCTGCCGGCGGCGTTCTATATGTCAAGACCAACGTGTCACAGGGCCATTTGATGGTCGAGTCCATCAACAACGTATTCGGTACTACATCCAACCCATACAACACAGCTCTCTCAGCAGGAGGCTCTTCGGGGGGCGAGTCGGCGTTGATCGCAGCTAAGGGATCAATTCTGGGCAGCGCAACGGATGGAGGTGGGAGCATCCGGATGCCCGCGGCTTTCTGTGGTCTCTGTGAGTATGCCAGTTTTTACACTCTCACTACAACGTATTCTGACGATTCTCCAAGGGGGTGTAAAGTGCTCCAAAGGGCGGATGCCAACTATGGGAATTCAGTCGCCAGGCGATGGTAATGAGTCGACAAATGCAGGTCTTGGGCCGATGGCGAGGAGTGTATCCGGCTGTGAGCTATGGCTGCAAGCTCAACTTGGGAATCAGCCTTGGAACTTCGATTTCAATTGCATCCCTATGCCCTGGAACACGGGGAAAGCACAGAGACCGAAGTCGAAACTGATAATTGGCGTGGTTCGAGACGACGGTGTGATCCGACCGACGCTACCCGTGAGCCGTGCCTTGGAGCATGTGATTACTTTGTTAGGCTTGGCAGGGCATACCGTAATTGATCTCCCCGCTGGCGAGATCAAAGAGATCCATCAACGAGGCACCTCCTGCGTCATGAAGTCAAATGTGCAAGGCGGAGGCCACGGCATCATGCAGCATATCGCCGCATCAGGGGAGCCTGTGGTTCCGCGAACGGCGACCGGTTCGCCAGCATCTCTTCTCACCACACATGAAATCTTCGCCAACCACAAGGAGCGCGCTGGCCTGGCCGCTCGGTACAACGCGCTCTGGGTTCAATACAGCCTTGACGCGATCCTCGCACCCGCAGTTGCGCATCCAGCGCCACCACATGGCAAGTACGTGTCCAATTGCTATGCCGGGATATACAATATGCTCGACTACGCGACAGGAAGCATCCCTGTGACCAAGGTGGACTTGGAAAGGGACATTGCTCCGCCAGAGTGGTACAACGCGCCAGTGTACCCGCGTATTGAGGAGATCAGGTTTCCGTATGACTGGGGAGACAAGGAGATGAAAGAGATATACACTTCGCCAGAGGTATTCAAGGACTCGCCAGTCGGTGTGCAAATAGCTTGTAGAAGGTTGCAGGAAGAGAAGTGTGTGGGTATTTTGAAGGAGATCGAGGCACTGCTCAAGGAGGGCGGAGCGTGAAGCGGCGAGGCGAGACCATCCATGACTAGCCATTATTTAGCACCTGTCCAAGCGCCTCTCTAGTGATATTTGAGACGCCGAATAAGGAGTCATCCCCTGTAGAGAACCAATGGAGCTACCGTGCGGTTATCTGTGAGCGGGGATTGCTTGTGGGGTAACAATTCCTCCCCTTGGCTGCTTATCAATGGACCTACGTGCCTCCTTCACGATTTTAGCTGAATCTGTAGGACACTGGTGAGATCTGCGTAACCTTGGCTGCGATGTTACCCTCGCCAGGGAACGAAACTCCCCATCAGGGCCGAAGCTACAAGTCTAGAAAGCAACGACCGTAAGCTCGCCCTTGGCCCCTGATTTCGGTCTAGAGACTGACCCCGAGCCTAGATGTGATGCCTGTCGCCGAAGGAAGATATGCTGCATCCGAGAGCCTGGCTCCCTGGCCTGCTCACTATGTACTCTTCGATCCACGAGCTGCACCTATCAGTCCCAACCCAACGTCCGACGACGCCGCCCTCGCACGGCAGTTGGCACAGTCACTTCCTCTGCAGACACTCGTCCAGTCTCCCCTCAGGTTGCGCACTCCACTGGCACCACGAGTGACTATCAGAGTGACTCGCCTCCGGATGACTGGACATCGTTATTTGTTGGCTTCAGTAGCGACCAAGACCCGTATGTCTTGAGGCATTGCCGGTTCAATAATGATTACTACCAGCGTCAGGATTGGGCCTGCATGCGTATTTACGGCAATAACGATATTCCCATGCATTTTACGGTAAGTAACTACAGGTCTTGCAGTCATATCGTGTCATTTCATCTCTATTCTGTGGCATTAACGGTCGATACTAACATGGCTCCCTTTAGACTGTCCCAGATTCACATCTTGACTCAGATCTCAATGCTACTCTTCGCTGCCCGGCGATCGAGGCTGGATCAGAAACACACAAATCGCTGATAGGGTCCTACTTCGATGTAGTTCATACTTCATACCCCATCCTTGATGGCCAACACATCCAAACTATCATTGACAAGTATCCCCCGCTAACGGGAATTATGTATCGGCTTGCCTCTCCGTTTACCGACATTAATATGGAAGAAACATGGCCAGAGTGGTATGACTACCTGCACAGAGTTCTCCTCTGGCACTCAAGATATCCGCGACTGGCAACGATCGAGCTCAGCCTGCTCATCTTATGTCGCCAAAACTCTATCCATCGCGTCCCAACCTTGCCCGGTGTGTGGCCTCAAATCGGGTCTCTTGTGGGAATGTGCCATGAGTTGGGACTGAATATGGATCCATCACGTTGGTCCATTCCAGCTTGGGAACGAAGCAGGCGAATCCGCCTTTGGTGGGCCGTCTTCATGGCCGATAAGTGGCATGCCCTAGGTTTGGGAAGACCAAGCTACATACACGACGACCAATGGAACGTCCCCATGGTGTCTGAGAGAGACATCCCAGCCCAAAGCTTCGAGGGGCGGACGGTGCCATCTTCAACTACCAAACTCTTCATCGCCATGAGCGTTCTGACGACAATCCTTTCAGATCTGCTTTGTAAAGCGTACACTGTCAAATTTATTGGGACCGAAGTGTCTCCTGATGCTGCCGATACCTTACAAATGTTCAATTCGTTCCTTCATCGCCTTGAGACCTTTCAGGAAGAACACGTAAAAGCTTTGGAGAGTGCAGCGGATCAAATCCGTGATCCTACCGGTAAGCGGCGATGTTCATGACAGTTGTAGATCTGCACTGACTGATTCTTAGGAACTCTTCATCTCGCATTCTTTACGGTGCAGATTGTTCTTTATCGCGCCATCTTACGGAGAATGCCTCCAGTTTGCCCAGAAGCAGCCCAGTTACGTCAAGGAGCGCGCCAAGTGACTCAAAACGTCATCAAGTTCGTCGAGTGTCTACAAGTGAGCCGTCTCCGCGCCTTTTGGTGGTCGCCGCTCTCTCGCACCAATTTTTCAATTGCGGGTAGTTTCATGTGTAATATGGTACTTACCTCGACAAAGGATGAGGAAGTCAACGCATGGACGAACCAGCTCACCCGCTATCGGACGTTGCTTGGCATGCACTCTGAGTCCTTCGACATCACCAAATTGGCCGTGAAGCGACTTGCACTCATTGCCTCCGTCAGTGAGCCTGAGACCGTCACCAGACAGTGTCATGAAGCCAGCGCGGTCGATCATACTGGGTCAACGCTACCGGATATCAGCGACCTGCCAATGTCGTTTGATCAAGAGCTGGACTTTCTTTTGGAATTTGCTATCCCGGACGAACTTGGTGGGAGTTACGTATTTAGAGAGAATTGCTGAGAAGTCTACTTAAAGAATTTTTGGCTATGTAGCTCTCCAACTTGTCTAAGACTGTGTAATGAATGTGATTAAACTTTGGAATCAGATCTAAATATGGCACTGACGTTTCCATCCACCTTCCGCCTCAAAAATAGTACCCACTGCCTTGCAAACAGACAACAAATGCCGGTCATGGAATCTTGGTGCAACCAAAGAGAGGCCGATCGGCATTCCATGCTCCCCCTTGAACCCAGGGATGTTAACGACCGGTGTATGAAGTGCCTGTATACCATCTGTTAGTTGTCTCACTGACTATATAGGGTTAAGTATCGTGATAAGCACTCACAGTCCATATGATGTTGAACGCTGGGCTACCAGTGTGCTCCTGACCGGTTGGGGCCTCATCGATAACACTGGGTGTAATAATCGCAGAATAGCTTCCCGCGATCTTATCAATCACAGGCCGCAGGGCTGCTATCCCATCAAAGGCTGCGAGTTGAGCTGCCCTGCTGATGTTTGTACTGTTTTCAACATGGCCGGCAATAAATGGCTGGAGCTTTTCCTTGGCAATGCGATACTCTGGAAGGAAGACTGGACGCGCCTCGGTATCCATGATGATGCGGTGCCACTCGGGCATGTTGTCGAATTCAGGAGGTAATTCAATAGACTCAACTTCTGCGCCGTGCTGCCGGAGTATCCCAGCTGCAGTGTCCATAGCAGCAATTGTTCCGGGTCCGGCTTCAGGCCAAGCCATTGTCCGTAGGAGGGCGAATTTAGCACCTTTCACGTCGAATGCCCGCCGTGTATTGGTCTCGTCATCAGCCAGAGCAAAGACGTCAGCCAAAAGATCAAGATCATCAACTGAGCGGGCAAAAAATCCGGTAGTATCCAAGGTCAGCGAGTAGATCTTGTGGCCCTCTCGAGTAACCGAATTCCAAGTGGGCTTCATTGAGTAAACCCCATTAAATGAGCCGGGCCTGATCGTGCTGCCTCCTGTTTGAGTCCCCAGACCAATTGCGGCTTGGAAGTCTCCAACAGCAGCGCCCGACCCGGAAGAAGAGCCCCCGGGTGTCCTTGTAGGGTCATGTGGGTTGCATGTTGGGGGTCCGTTCTTAGCTGATGCGAACTCCGTTGTCGCCGATTTCCCTACGAGGGTGAGTCAGAACCTGGGGAGAAGCGCCTTTGCCGCGGAAAGATATCGTGACAATTTGTTTCCGAGTCTTACCTATCAATAAAGCACCAGCGTTCTTGAGAACAATTATTGAGCCTGCATCAACCTCTGGTGAATCCCCCTTATAAATTGGAGAGTTGTGTTGCGTGGGCATTCCTGTCGTACTCAACTTAGTTTCCATCTTCGGTAGATCTATTCGCAGCACTTACGCTTGGTATACATAACATCCTTCACAGCAATCGAGACACCGTGAAGCGGCCCTCTTTGTTCAGGTGGGATTTGATCTAAGGCTTTGGCCTGCTCAATCACATAGGCTGGGTCTAAATAAGCCCATGCTTTCACAACTAGGTCCCTCTGTTCGATACGAGACAGTAAGGATCTCGCATAAGCCTCTACTGTTAAAGAGCCGTCTTTGAACTTTTCGACACACTCAGTTGCGGTGAGTAGGTAAGGCTCCATGTTGGCGATTGTAGGTACCAAGGTCTTTAGGAGTTTCCGAACGCCTGCAACTGGTTGGTTGAGAAAGGGTTTTATGACGCTGAAGGAACGTGGCTTACTAAGCGCATGATACTTTTGGCGGATCATCAACACATGCATCCTATTATTTAAAGAACGATGAGCGATTTACATGTGCGGTGGCAGGTCCCCATCTTCTTTGGCTGTGGGACTGGAGCCGACCTCGGCACTAAGTGGGCAGACTTTGTTTTGCGCCGCGGCCATCAGCAGAGGAGACTATGATTCAGGTCATGGATTAGAAGACAATAATTAAATTAGTTTACTCGCTTATCTGACAAGTGTTATCAGGCTTGATTTAGCCCAGCCAGAAAGCTAACTATTATTTCCGTTGTAGGGACTAATGAAGACAGGCTCTTGAGCCAGCAATCAGGGGACACTCCGACTGCAATTTGTTTCTTCCCTCCTTTTCTTACGGACATATTGGCAAACTTGAAACAGGCAGTAAATTTGATAGAAGTTCACCTCCAGGCTCTTAAATGTTGAAATGACAGTCTAGACTTTTTCCATTCATCCTCAGAATGTGATCCTACATAACTCTGCTTCCTAGGTAGCCATAAATAGCTAAATATAGAGAGAAGCTTGTCACTAGTCACTTGATGAAAATGACTGTCATTCCACCGTTAGAACGTTCCTAGCAAAAAGGTTAATATGTAAAGATTGGAGATTCTCATAAAGCTTGTATTGAGCTTTCCCTTGATCCTAAATAAAGCATCGCGTCACAGCCAAGAACTAACCCCACATAGAGAGAAACTCATATCATACGATTTGAATACATCTAAAACAATATCAAGCTGCAGTCGAGCCTAAACTTACATCTCGCCTAACTTGTCGTGAAACCAAGCTCCAAATTCGCCATCCTGCGCATTTCTCGTTGACCCGAAGTCAATCCTTCTTCGTCAACATCAAAAGGCTCAAATCCGAGAGCCCTAAGGCCTTCAATGGATAGAATATTTTCGCGTCTCGCGCCATGATCATCGTGGTCCTTCTCAAGTTCACCGTGCTCATACTTTTCGAAATCTTTAGGTGGGAGCACATCCAGGAAGCTCTGGCGGAGGCTGACGAGATTCCGCACGTTGTACGGGCAAAGCGGAACGCAGCCGTTATAACTGACCGAGGAATCCCGAGTCCCGGGATGGAACTTGTCGACTTCATGAATCAGGTCGCAGTGCCAGAACACGTAGTCTCCAGGCTTGACAGGCGGAATACCGACCATGCTCTTCTCCAGGGCTAGGTGGGGATGCAACTCCTGAGTGGGAAGAAATTGTAATCTGCCTGGAGTGGCACCCGGGAACAAGGGTGTAACCTCGTCAAATTTCTCATCAAGAATGAAATATGGGCGTAGCAACTGGTAGGCCGTGGAGAGCTTCAACTCGGGCACGAGACGCAAAGTACCCTCTCCTGTTCCAGTATGCGAAAGGCTGATCCAACCTTGAAGTGACCGAAACGCGGAGCAAGACTCTGTGAAATGTAGATTAGCACATATCAAACAGTATTGAGAAAGCGTTGTGACTAACTTCCAGATTTATACAGATCAGTCTTGGCTTCGGAGCGGTGATCAGCATTCCAAGGATCGTATTCTTCCCACTTTCCCTCAAAGATCTTCTGGTAGCAAGCCCTGTAGTCGGGGTCTTCCCATCTCTCAATTGCACCGCTGTCCTGATGTGCGTTCAACGTGTATTCAGAATCTGAAGGTGTGATCAGTTCCATGTGCCAGTGATAGTAAATGCGACGAGTTAAAAAATGTTGGACTAACCAAGCGAAGGATGTCTGATGCGGAAGCGATCCGCATAGAGAACTTGACTCGACATGTCGAACGGTATTCCATCGTCACTGAGATGCCATAGCTTGCTGACAGCGTGCATGGCTTTCATCACGCGCGGATGGCTACGGATCTGAACCTGCGCCGGTGTCCAAAACAGACTAAAATTCTGCGGATCATGCTTTGGGAAACCAGCAATTTTCGGGTGCCTCTTTGTGTAGCTCCTCAGATCAGCCTCCCACTTTGAAGCCTGTTCTTCCGGGACAACGTTGCGAAGGATGACACAGCCAGTTTGTTGAACTAAGGATGCCAGACCGTCTGGTAGAACGCCTCCATTGCTCTCTATGGTAGTAAAGTCAATTTCAGGAATTGACTTCGGCCCCAGCTTGGCAATTCTATCAGCCTCGATCTCTAATGCCTTTGTCAGGCGATGGTATGACTCAATCAAAGTCGTTTTATCTTCCGGCTTTATGATTGACTGCTTCAGCTTCGAGAAGCGCTCCTCAAGAAGCTCACATCTAGCAGACAGAAATGTAAGAATGTAAGATTCGAATGGAAGTGTGTCTAACGGGGCAGATACTTACGGGTAGCTCGTCTGGGTTTGGGTAGTAGTTTGACTCATGTTGTCTGCACTTAGGCGCCTGACGATTTCTTATCACAGGGTCTTTTTGATTGGTTTGACATCTTATCAGAAACTATCGGGCTTGGGCGCCGTATTTATGAATGGTGATGGAATGTTGAAATTCACGGCCGTCATGTCAACATAGCGCGGATGCAACCATGTTTTGCGCGCGGGTCACAGTGGCCAATCTTTCCTCCAACTCCACGTATGTGTGGATCTGTGACAGAGTCCTTGATGCGGCCAAGGTCCCTTGTTATCAAAATGTTGAATCCCCGGGGTTCGGCTTCTCTTTGGATCTAAATGTCCGATTTACGTGGAGGTCTTCGCTCCTCAACTTTGATTCCCAGGTGTTAGTCCCAAAACACGACGACCCGACCACCTCGGTTAAGAAAACATTTCAAATGAAGCCGATATGAGTGGTCTGCGCCGTGGATCTGCCTCACGAGGGGGTGGTCAGGTTGTGCTTGAGCAGCGGGCAAGCAGAGTTGCCCGCGGCGCAACTTTGGCCGTGGCGTAATGAGAACCGCTACCAGTGCAGATCCAGCCCCTATCGATCCCTATCTCTTAGCTGCATGTCCTATCCGGTTCTCCACAAACTTCAACAGCGGAATGACACTCTGGGGTTCTCCACCTCCTTCATGCACGACTGCTTGTTATCGTTGACAAACCCCCTGTCCTGTGATAGCATGGCGTTCTGTAAGGAATAGACATCATAAAAAGGACATCCCTTCCATCTGTTGTATTGCCGTTTCCTCATCCGACTCCTTGCATCTCTCTCTTACCGAACGGTCTACAATTTGCCTCAATCACGATGGGCTCGAAACCCCTGTTCTTCCGCGAGCTCACGCCGCGCTTGCTGCGCATCTTCCTCTTCGCTTCGGTAAGTATCCTCGTGATCCTGGCTTTAACCAAGATGAGGGCATCACTCGCTAACGCCCTGAATTGCAGATTGGAGCAATGGTATGTTACTCTAGAAGCAGTCCGGATACTCAATTATGCACGTGTAGCTCACACGACTCTTTAGAACTTCGGCTACGACAACAATTGGTGGGCCGGTGTCATCGGACAGCAGAGTTTCATCAACGATTACGGTCGATACAACGGTCCGGGCCAGGATCGCTCCCTTCCATCCACCTGGCTCTCAGCAGCCAGTGGCACACCCATCGCGGGATGGATCATCGGTTGCGTCCTGGCCGGTTACCTGACGAGCACATTCGGACGAAAGATGACAATCATAACCATATGCGTGGTGGCGCTTATTGGAATGGTGATCCAGGCTGCTGTCCTGAATTATTGGGTGTTGATGGTTGGAAGACTTATCAATGCTTTCTCTATGGGTATGCCAATCCAACTCGATGACGACGAACATGTAGATGCTGATATACGTCTAATAGGTATTGAGGCAAATTGTGTGCCTATGTACATGGCCGAACTTGCTCCTGCATCAATCCGTGGTGGCCTAGTCAACTTTTACCAATCGTGGTTGTATATTGGTGCCGCTCTCGCAGCCATCACTGTTTACGCTTCCTCCATTACTCTGACAGGAACATGGTCATATAGAACTGGTATGTGGTAGTGAATAGTGACAACCTAACATTTATAGCTGCTGACTTCTGTTGATGCAGCCATTGTGGCTCAGATTGGTCCCCCTTGTATGTTACTGGCTGCCATCTGGTTCATTCCCGAATCACCTCGCTGGCTTCTCGGCAAGGGCAGAAAAGAGGAGGCCATGAAAGCGTTGGCCTACATGAGAGCAGGCGCTGCGACTGAAGAAGAGGTCGCCACTGAGCTGAATCTGATTGACTTGGCGATGCAAGAGGAACGGGAGAACAACCTCGCTACGAGCTATGCGGACTGCTTCAAAGGCACCAACCTACGCCGAACCATCATTGCCATTGGCGTCCAAGTTCTGCAGCAAGCACAGGGCAACTCCTTCACGACCACGTATCTCGTCATCTTCCTTAAGCAAGTCGGCGTTAAGGAACCGCTCCTGATCAATGTTGCCAAGATGTGTTGCAACTTTGGAGCAACTCTCCTCACCTTCTTCCTCACCGACATGCTTGGTCGTCGGCCGATGCTTATGGGTGGTTCTTTCTTCATGGCAGGCCTCATGTGGACTGTGAGTGGCGTTTCAGCATGGAGCCCAGGCGGCCCTTCCAATACTGCTGCGCAAGGAGTTGTAGCTGCAATTCTCCTTTATGTAAGTGACACTATCTCTCTTTTCTTCTTCACGATAAGTGCATACTAACAATTCTCCAGGGAGCATTTGCTGCCGCATGCTGGGGCTCTGTGATGTGGACTGTCACAAGTAAGTCATTATTTATCTGTAACTCAACTCTGAAGTATGGGGTTAACAGTGTATTAGCCGAAGTAGCGACTACACAGCTGAGAGAACGAACGATTTCCATAGCTACAATGTTGGGCTTTGTGACCAGCCTTTTGATCACCTACATCAACCCATTCGTCCAGAATGAGCCTGGATATCTCGGTGCAAAGGTCGGCATGATTTACGGAAGCATTTCGGTCCTTGCCTTGATCTTCGTATTCTTGGTGGTTCCAGAGATGAGTGGTCGAAGTCTGGAAGAGTTGGATGAGTTATTTCGCGCCAAGGTCCCAGCTTGGAAGTCTAAGGACTATGTCTGCACAGGAATTGGCACCCAGATTACTCACATCCAGAATATTGAGGGAAAGAGAGTTAGTATCGATCGGGCACAGTCGGTTTCTAGAGAGGCTCAGGGAAATGATGTCAAAAAGTGAGAGAATTGGACTGTCAAAATTGCGAAGGCAAAGAATTGAAGTCGGGGCTTTAATCATTACAATAAACTCTCACGATCCAGATGGGAAAACATCCTGTCACGTCCATATATGTCTCTTATACGAATCCATGCCTGATCATCTAAAGAAGAGGAACATTTAGCAGTGTTCCATCGCGTATCGTATATTGTTATCACTTCGTGTGCCAAGATAAGCTGCATGTGGCGAGTTTAGGTACTTTGGAACGGATGATGGGACTTCAGCAGGTTGGAATCAATGCTAGCAGAGTGAATGTACCCCCTCGATATGACTTGATATGACAGCTACCACTCTTTTCAATCCATGCACTCGTTTTCCTTCAAATTATCTTGCCCAGCAAACTCTGCCGTGATAAGCATGACCTTCATTGATTGGACCACTGACACTGTTCCATGGCCTCTGGGCATACTTGTCCTTGAGCGTTGTGACACACACTTCAATAACTTACGCCGTGTAACCACATTCAATCAAAAGTTCAATGCATGGCCAGGTCACAATAGAGTTCATAGCATCAATCATGTCGCAAGATACGACGCGAGTGTGGTGACAAATCCATGCTTAGAAATCAATCGCGTCATCCCCATATCCAACAGAATCATCGCCATAATTACTTGTGCTTTTCCTTAAGATATCAAAGATCCCATCTGTTCTCAATCAATCAAGATATTTGATTACTTGTAGGTATTGACACCCGTAAACATGGCTCCCATCCGCATCGGTATCGTTGGTCTGTCCGCCTCAGCCAAGACATCTTGGGCAGCCAACGCACATCTTCCCTATCTTCTCTCCCCTCGCGGCCAATCCCACTACAAGATCGCCGCTCTCTTGAACTCGAGCGTGGAAGCGGCCAAGAAGTCCATCCAGCACTTCAATCTGCCCCCCGAGACCAAAGCATACGGTGATCCCCAGGCTCTCGCAGATGACAGCGATGTTGACCTCGTAGTCGTCAACACGCGCGTGGATGTGCACTACCAAACGGCTTTACCAAGTGCTAAGGCTGGCAAGAACGTCTATGTCGAGTGGCCTCTGGCCCAAGACGTCAAACACGTCGACGAGCTGGTCCAGGCGGCAAGGCAGGGAGGTGGCCGCACACTCGTCGGCCTCCAGGGACGAGTTGCCCCTCCCGTGGAGAAGCTCAGAGAACTTATCCAGAGCGGACGCATTGGAAAGGTTTTGAACAGTGAAGTTATGGCCGCAGGGGGCTTGAATGACCGGGAACGTGCGCCGCAGTCTCTCAAATATTTCTTGCAGCGGAGCGTGGGAGGAAATGTGTACACCATCGGCTTTGGGCATTGTAAGTGACCATATTATTGCTGCGCTTCGATTCCAACTGACAATCGTTAGTATTCGATCAGATTCAGCATGTTCTGGGAGAGTTCACGAACATTGAATCCCATCTTCAAATTCAGAGACCAGAGGTCAAGCTCTTTGATCCCGCCTCCAAGAATGTGGTCGAGACAATTCAATCAGACGTTCCTGACCTAATCTATGCCATAGCCTCTCTCCCCGCATCGGACAGCACTCAGGCCGGAGCAAGTGCTTTACTTCGTTTCCGCAGAGGTCAGACATTCAAAGGCGATCCAGCACTGGTGTGGACCATTCAGGGCACGAAGGGAGAGATCCGACTCACAGCCAAAGATGGAACGACACTGCATGCCTCGGCATATTCAGGGCCTGTTACAATCCAGGTCTATGACTTCGCTACCGACACGGTTGAGGACGCTTCATGGAAGTGGGCAGATTGGCAGGAAGAACTGCCCATTCTAGCCCGATCTGTCGGTGAGGTATATGAGAGATTTGCCAGCGGGAATGGTTCAGTCTTGGCCACGTTTGAAGAGGCAGGTGTGCGGCATGAGCAGCTAAACAAGCTTCTCGTTGCCTTTGATCATCAATGAGATCAACAATACCAGTCGATAGGAACTAGTTTGAGATAATGAATGTACGTCTAAGATTTCCACCCGTAAAAGAGGCACGCTCTTCAACCTTTTCCATTAAGGGCATCACTGGGCAATGTTCACAGCACATCCTTCTCAAGTCTAGGCATTATCAGTCATTTAGTAGATCATGAATGTGCCTTTCACCACTGGGGAGAAGTTACCCTCGATCAAGTCACCTTCGAAACATCCTGCAGAATCAAAGACCAAAAGACAAAAATCACGAAGATACTAAGTGTCCCTAGTGATTCAGTATGATTGATACAGCGTTGGTATGATTGACATTGAAACATGTGATAACAGCCAAACAAGTAAAGTTGAAGCCAAATTCGTACTATAGACTCCCTTGAGAATTCGCAGTGAAACCAACACCTGAAAAAGGCCGACCATGTAATTGAGGGGTTATTTGCCTCTTTTGCTTTTTCGTATCGTCCCCATACACATTGACTAGGAAGGCAATGTGGCTAGCTGTAATGCTATGTTTCAAGACTGCCAAAGCATGTTTGACAAAGAAACCCAAGTCTGCTCCCAAACGAAGCATCTCCCTGCAGATTCATGACACTATTCGCAAATGTTGCACAGTGCCGAGCTGGGCTTGAACACATGGGGTAGTAAAACAGGATCTTTGATCCATGAACCCATCTTTCCTGTAGAAAGTTCCAACTGCCCTTGTAGTGTCAGCTTCTAGGCCTTGCAGTGTCAGCGACCATCGGACGCAAGGTCTGAGGTTTGAGAAACCTATCAAGGTATTCCAGGTTCTAGGCCTTGTGGAGATGGCACAAGCCGGTTACAAGTTCGGTATGACGACGTTTCATTCAGAGTCAGTGATTATACAAGGTGATAGCTTGTAGAGACGGGAATCGTCGAAGGGAGTAACATGATCATCCTATCCGACGTTCATTCAAGTTATAGATCTCATATAATATAGATCTTGGGAGACTTGGCAAAGGCAGTACGCCATGGTGCGTGATGATAATGGTGAGGGCATTGTTTCAAGTCGGTTCGTCCCTTGGAGGGCCAAGGACGTCTAGCTACGGCTACATCGAGGTAGGTACAAGTAGCTGTTTGTTGATGATTCTAAGGATGAGTTGATGGCCATCTTCCCAAACAGGCGTCAAACGTAAAAGGGTGTCGTGTCGGTTCGTCGATGAAGTCCCATAGTGCGACCTGCCAGAGTCCATTTGGAGGGGCCTGGTCTAGAATGCCAAGCGGCCACTCTTTCTCATGTTCCTTGACGCTTTGTATCATGATTTTCAGCTGCAATGCTTATTTTCAGCTCACACAGCCCTCTGTCGTCTGAGACTCTGGCCATTCCAAGACATTGAATCTGCTGTCAAGGGGGTCAAATTCCAAGGATCTTTAATATACATGATATACAAGGAGCGCAAGAAGTATAAGAAGGAACACCGATCGATTCAGGCCAGTTGCGTCTCCTTCTTTCATTTTCAATCAATTCAGAATCCAAAACTTAGAGCCAGCAAATATGCATTTCAAGTCGATCCTTCTCCTCGTTGCAGCCTCGCTTCAGGTCTCATCGGCCAAGAACTTCACCTGGACCGGGTCCAATGAAGCTGGTGCTGAGTTCGGGGACAAAAAGCTCCCCGGACGGCTGGGTTATGACTATATCTGGCCAACGAACGAGTCAATTGATGTAAGTGGCCATGCTTGGTTGTTCGCGCCCGGTAGCAGAGGGACGAAAGTTTATGCGGTATGCTTCTCAGACGCTTGCTAGGACTGGAATGAACACCTTTCGGATTCCATTCAAGATGGAGCGGCTCATCCCGAAGAATCTGAGTGGCCCCATCAACAAGACATATTTTGATGGCCTCCAGAAGACTGTCAATCATATCACTGGCAAGTATGTGTCAATCATGCAAAGGATCTTTCTTGGCGAATGTCTAACGCGCAAGTAAAGAGGCCTGTATGCAGTCGTCGACCCTCATAACTACGGCCGCTACTACGGCAAGGTGATCACGAATGTGACGGGTTTCGGCGCGTGGTGGACAACAGTCGCTGCCCGCTTCAAGAACAACAGGCTCGTCATCTTCGACACCAACAACGAGTTTCACGGGATGCGAAACGAGCTCGTTCGAGACCTGAACCAAGCAGCCATCAACGCCATTCGAGCCGCTGGCGCAAGGACCCAGTATATCTGGGTCGAGGGCAACTCCTGGAGCGGAGCCCACTCGTGGGTTTCGAGCGGCAACGGGGCGAGCCTTGTGAACCTATCTGACCCGTCGAACCGCACTATCTATGAGATGCATCAGTATCTCGACTCGGATAGCTCCGGAACAAGTAGCATCTGCCAGTCCCCCACCGTGGGTAGAGACCGTCTAAGGGCTGCTACCGAGTGGCTTCGCAGGAACGGCAAGAAGGGAGTCATCGGTGAGGTAGCTGCGGGCAACAATAGAAACTGCAAGATTGCGATCAGAGGCATGCTGCAGTACCTGAAGGACAACTCGGATGTGTGGACTGGCTGGGTCTGGTGGTCAGCTGGCCCGTGGTGGGGGAACTACATGTTCAGCATGGAGCCCCCCAACGGAATCGCTTATAGGCAGCTACTTCCTGAGATCAGGGCCTTCATTGGCATCTGAAGGAGTCAGTATCTGCGGTGTGTGCTGAATCTAGATCGAGACCTTTTGATCTTATGCAAGACATTGATCACAGAACCTAGCGGATGACGAAGATCAGCTCTTGTCTTTGCCCTATAGATTTCCGTGAGCTTCTCGTGACTGAATCTTATGTTATCCCTCGTACATGTGTATTGGTGTAATCATCCTAAAAGGTATGATCTGTTTGAAGAGGAAATCCTCAAGTTGGATCCTATGCTGTTAGATGAGGCTTGGGGCGTAGTGATGTTTCCATAGGTTTCTTTCTGGGAAGCAGCCTCTCCTACAAATAATTAAACATAGAGAGAGTCTCTGAACTCATTAGATCGTCCGCAATGCCATCGTTGCGAACAAGCGGCGTACGAGGCCATGGGAACGGCGGTGCCACGCCCGTTTAGGTGTTGCGATACAAGACATGATTCCCCCATGGTGGCTTCCTTGAGTCTCATTGCAGGCCAAGTCCAGCTCATGATTATCCAACGCATTGCCGTTACAATTGTCGCATTCTAGAGACCACAGGGCAGTGATACAAAGCTAATCAATCAAGGAAGGCTGGCTGGCCAAGGGAGGTCAAGTCTCGGAACGGATCAGGCCTGGAGAAAATGCAAGGCCGGCAGTCACTAGCGGGAAGGAAAGAAGAATTCGGCATTAGCAAAACACCAATACCTTGATCTAGTACGTACCATCGTGCTTGAGACTCATGACGCGATGCCAAGAGGCGTCTGATGGGTTGAGGACCCACAAGGATTGAGAAAAATAAGGCCAAACACCATGGTGCGGAGAGATTTCGGTCACCGAAGAATCCACAATCCCCTCATTTGTAAGTCGCAAGTGGCCATGATGCTGCCAGGATCACCCAGGTCGCTGGCCGGCTCGCCACATCTCGCTGCGCGACGAGAGGCGAGCCGTTGATAAAAACTGTTCTTGGGACAGTTGATGGCCGTCTTCCTCTTCTACGACAGATCCCAACATCAGTATCCAACACCAATCATAACTAAACAGTAACACACTCACAACACACAATGGCCGTCATCAACCTCGCCTACACAGCACCAATCAACCCATCCGGCGTCTCACCCGTCCTCACAGAAGCTCAAGTCTGGACAGGCCTCAAGCGCAAGGTCAGACGGGCCTACGAGTTCGTCCCCGTGATCGTGGACTGCAAGGTCATCAGCGAAGACGGCGACACCACGATCCGCGAGGCCACCTTCAAGGGCAACCCAAAGCCGGTCCGGGAAGTCTGTGTACACTTGGCTCCGAGCCGTGTCGATTTCAAACAAGAAGATGGAAGCAACATCTCCAACATTGTCTCAAAGGGCCCGGATGGAAGCCTGCAGATGACATACGCATTTGAGTGGCGCCACCCAGATATTACCGCGGGGAGCGAGGAAGAAACACAATTGCGCGAGAAATATGAAGGGGTAAGCTTATCCAGAGGTATCTTGCGAGCAATTGAACGAGGATGAGCTAACACAATGCCGCAGCTTTCCAAGATAGCGGTTGAAGGCAGTATCGACACCATTCGCAGATTGGTGAAGGAGGGTGAGATCCAGTAATCAGTGAGCCTCTTAAATGGCGCTGCATGCGATAGATTACTCCGTTATGTAAGGTCCAGATAGATATCTAAATAAACAAGATGAACCCGCTACTACTTGTCCAAATGATGGACGCGCAGCGACATCGAAACTCGCGAAACAGCCGCAGTGTTTGTTGAATTTGGACACTATTAAGTCAACAACCATTACTCCATGTCCCAATCAACAGGCTGCACGCCCTTGCCCTTGCCCTCCATCAGCACCTCAAGTTTGTCCTCGTTCGTCACCCAGCCATGTCGCTTCGTCACAATTGCATACTTTATGGGATCCCGCCATTCCCTGAACCAACTCTCCTCGCTCTGGACTGTATATTGCCGCCCCTCAGTCCCCATCGGTGCTGTCGCAAACGGCCATATTGCTTGCGCCACTTCGTACTTGCTTTTGGGCTTGAACATGGTCTTGAAGCTCGTCACAACTTTGTGCACCTTGTCGGCACTGCGGACAACGACGCGCGCGTGCGTCGTGGGGAACGTGATGCTCAGGTTCCCCTTGTATCCAGTGGAAGAGATGAGACTCCGCAGCTGGCCCTCGATGAACATGTTGTCGAGATGTGCCACAGTCCTGGTGAGAACAAAGCTCTTGGACTCGGCAGGATCGGCCACAAAGAGTCTGCACCACTCCTCCAACCCGCCGTCACCCACGACAGGCATCAAGCCAGGTTGGTGGCCGCCCCGGAAAACTAATTCACCCTCGCCCACACAACGTATATAGTTCGTTCGCATGCGTCCGTCCTCGGGCACGAGGAGACTCATCAGGTTGAGCTTGATATCGAAGTCGGTCTTGGTAGGGCGGGAGGCTTTGACATGTATCTGCGGTTTGGGCGGCACGGAGGCCTGGGCACGCAGGAAGGCTGCCAGCGCGGTGGCATTCTCAACGAGGTTGCTCGATGTGCGGGTCGAGATGGTGATGCCATCGGGGGACAACTCGAACAGTGGCGGGGAGTAGAGCTGGTAGTCTAAGCGCGGGATGCCGGCATATTCTGAAGATCGCGATGACGAGCTATCGTGGCGGGAGACGGGGTCATGGGCGTATTGTTGCTGTGCAAGATTGGCAGGAGGAACTGGTCGGCGGGCTATGACCTGGCGCTCTGAGGCAACTGGAATTGGGTCGCTGGACCATGAGGATACATGAGCTGGAGGATAAGGCGACTGAGGGTTCGGGGAGGCAACAGGGCCGCCATCAAGCTCGGCTACAGGCTCAGGAGCATTGAACGCCATTGTGGTGTCGATAATGCGGGGTCGAAGCAAGATGCCCGTCTCAGGTTCTGACGTGAGGATCAGGCAAAGAGGATTCTTCTGCCGCTCACAGCATCCTTCCAGCGCAATCTCCAGGACCGGCACGTCGGCATACGTTAGAGAAGTGGGTAGCTGCTAATAGGGGTTGACGGGCGACATGTTTGTGTATCTTTGATCGCATCAAAAGTAGGGAATCGCGTGGGACGTTTGGCCGCGCCAGCATATCTCAGCCCTACATGCTGGGTCTCAGGGCTCGATGAGCCGGGGAGTGGAAATGAAATGGAAAGATGACAGGCTAAATGAAGCGAATAGACGGTCGATTTCGCTGTTGGGATCTTGGCTCTGCGTCGTCTTGGGTCAAATTACGCGTAGATGGAAAGACGGAATTTCTCGGTTCCGGTCTCGGTTCCGCCGAATTTGGCGAGCGGGCCAATCAACTTCAGATACGAGCCTAAAGGTGGGTACAGGATGCAGGTACTCTTGGCTACACATGAGCTCGGATAGCCCACCTATTCTACGCCCAATTAATACTCGTTTTAAGTACCATCAGGTAGCTTGTCTCTCGCAAGTCACTGCTTTCTGGTCTCGCTAGCAAAACAGCACGAAACATCAATCAAGGTACCAGCGCTCTGATAAGCCGCATCACCATAAGCCCCAAATAGCACCAGCATCAACATTTTGACAATTACAACCATATTATCTTGACGTTATCATAGCTGTCTGACAGAAGGACAATAAATTTCTCACCTCATTGAAGAGATTATATTCCAATTCGTCATTTCTTTACAACGCATTCCTTCTTCTGCTTCTCGCCATCATAGAATTGTTATCAGCCTCCTTTTGCTACCGTAACCACCTGATAAACCTTGGTAGTATCAAGCAAGTTTGTTGAAACCTTCCAAGACAAAGCGCATTTACAGAGAAATTCTGACTTCTAGTCTCCATTGATCGACACTTCCGACGCACTGCACTTTTCCATCAAAAGAAGTCGGGAAAACATATGTTAGTGTGAGTGTATAGGGTAGTTGATATTCATTTAATAGAAAGAGGTTCTCTCATGTTGGAAGTGGGCAATACGCATGCTTCGGTCTTCCGGTGGTTTTTAAATGGAAAAGAATTTCTTCAGTAGCATCAATCAATCTGAACCGGCCAGATGGTTTGGTCAAGGTGGAAAGTTAGGTTGTTGCGCAACCCTTACCCAAAGCTATAAAAAATCGCCTCACTTCAATCTCGAACTGGACTGGCTTGCGCTCCCTCAAATCTAGCGTCCGACAGTATAAAACTGAGTGCGATTTTTTCTCAGTCCCCTGGTTTTGAATTCTCCCTTCTACATTTGTGTAGATGTTACTGTATTAGTGTCTGTGTCCCCCTTCCCACCGCTTCCGACGACGAGACAAGCTTACATTCACTACCTTAGTATAAATAAACCTTCGAAATTTAGGTATCCAAAGTCCACCTTGATTTACTAAGACTTCATTATGAGTCAAGCTCAAAACGGGTTCAAAAGTGAGTCTGCCAAGCTTCCTCAGCTTCCCAAAAGCTCTGGCGGCCTGTTCTTCTCATCCCAGTTCTGCAAGAGATCCAAGCACCTGCCTCTAGGGACGTCTCTCTCTGGGCAGACAGGAATCATCACAGGCGCCAGCTCTGGAATCGGGCATGCGTGCGCAAAAATGCTCCTTGACTTAGAGATCAGCCATCTTATCATTTCAGCCCTGACGCAAGCCGAGGCCGATTTCACTGTGGGAATTCTCAGGGAGAGGCACCCAAATGCGAAAATAGACGGTTGGGTTCTGGATCTGACCTCCTATCAATCTATCCATGATTTTGTTGCCCGTTGCGCAACTCAGCTGTCGCGAATCGATTTTGCCATTCTCAATGCAGGCGCGGCCTTTGGTTACTTCAAGCGCTGCGAAAAGACTGGCCATGAGATGGTCTTTCAAGTCAATTTCCTTTCTACCATGCTTCTATCTGTGCTCCTGGTGCCGGTACTCAAGTCAAAGGATCCGCCTGGGAGGCCTAGCCGTTTGGTTATTGTCAACTCGGGAACAGCCATGCATGCCGAGTTTCCCCAGCACAAAGCCGAACGTATCCTGCCTGCATTCGACGTCGAAGAGAACTTTGACCCCATGGGGCAGTATGCCAATACTAAATTCCTGGCCCATCTTTTTGTTGACAAGCTGTCTCGGTTTGTGAGCCCTGATGATGTCGTTATCAATTTGGTAGATCCCGGATTGACCAGCGGTACAAATATCCTCGAGGGCGCCAGCATGTCTACGCAGATCGGCTTCAATTGGTTGAGGGCTATTGCTGGTCGGAGTCTTGAAGATGCCGCAAGCGCATATATTGATGCGATAGTAACCAGGGGGAAAGATTCCCATGGATCCTTCATTATGGATTGGGACATCTATCCGTACGTTTTCCCAACCCCGACTAGACAGTGAAGAAGAGAGTGCTGACATAGAGTTAAGATATGGGAAGTTTTATTATGATCCTAAAAGAGAGGAGATTCAAGAAAAGCTCTGGGATGAGATGCTCAAGGAATTTGAATTTGCCACTATACAGGATACTGTTAAGTGTATGAAGTAGCCATCACCCGTATAGCTGACGGCTTTTTGTCCTTCCTTGTTTCTTTCTCTTGATTTCTTCATGTTTCTTTCAGTTTTATTTTTGCAAGTTTAACCCAGAATATAAACTTCGAGAATAACGTGTTCTAGAGTTCGTATCGGAATTCTTTGTTCTCAAGATCTGTGAGATCCAGAAACTCATGATTTTCCTGCACTATATGGGCGTCACCCTGTGCCTCCTTTTCTTGGTCCCTTTTCTTGTTTCGGCTACTAAGGACCCAACGCATAACAAGAAGATCCACCGTGCAGAGGAAATAAATTATGCAAATAGAGATCTTGGCAGGAAGGTATCGAGGGGCGTCACGTGGCTGGAATGTCTGAGGAGAGATGATATTCCCAACTGTGTAAGCGATCGTTTCTAGACCTGTTTTCCAAGTTTAGCTAATGAACGCGCAAACGGTTCAGCCCTGGAACCAAAAAGAGAGTACCTACACGCAACGGTCACCTTCTTGGTCGAGCCGGCTACATTTGAGCTCTTCATGCCTAGGATGGTGGTCCATCCGATAGGGATTCCTATGAGTTCAGAATTAGCTTGAACCTATGTGGTGTTCCTGTGTTCCTGTGTCTTGCCTCCAGTCAAGTAGTATCCAATGAGAGCAGCGGTCTTGTCCGTAGTTGCCATGAGAATTGCACCAACAATGGCAGGAATATGACCCGTCACGCACCAATACAACCTCTGATGTGTCTTCATTGCCAGCCAAGTCAGACCAACGAGAAGCACCATCTCATATGCCCCGAGGGGTGTGACCAGCAGCAATGACTCTCTGCTGGTATAACCCATTCCCTTGACAAGAATATTACCGAAACTAGTAGCAGTGGAATTTGGAATATTGGCCGCAAAGACCCAGAAGCAGTATAGCCAGGTCATAGGATCCGTCAACGCCTCACGCACCTGCGTTAGCTTGAATGTCGGGGAACCGATGCCCTGCTCATTTCCTCGAATCCGATGGAGGTGAGCACCCTTTTCCTCCGTCGAGAGAAACTTGGCCGTCGCAGGGGAGTCCGGAATCAGAAAGTAGAACGCGATACCAACAACAACCGTGAGCAGACCGAGGAAGAGAAAGATAACCTGCCACCCGTCTAGAAGCGCATTCGGGTCACTGCCAACATGCGTGGCCACACCATACGCAAAGAATCCCCCAAACATTTGTGCGGTGCCGCAAACTGAAAACCAAATACCGACACGAAATGCCTGCTCGCTTTTATTATACCACTGCGAGGTGAAGAGAACCCAAGCTGGGATGATGGCGGCCTCGAAAGCGCCGAGGAAGAAGCGACATGCAAGAAGACCGGCGTAATTCTTGCAGGATGAGAGGCAAGCTAAGGTGACACCCCATAGTGTCACATTCAGTGAGACGTACTTGGCCAAGGGAAACAACTGGAGGAGGCGGATGGTCGGGAATTCGAAGGCAAGCTGACCAAAGAAGAAGATGGACGCAACCCAATTAAATTGATTTCCGACCAGCCCTGTGGCTTCCGGCAGGCCAGTCACGCTGCCGTATGAGATAGACGTCTTGTCAATGTACTGCAGGAAATAGACGATGCAGATGAGGGGCATGATGTGTCTATCGATTCGCCGCACAAGTCGCTTTTCCCGGGCCTCGTCAAAAGGTTGCAGTATACCGCCGGTCTCCTTCAGCAGCTCCAGTGCGGCGTCGGCACCGGATACTGGTGCTGTTGGAGCCTTTGGCACTGGGGAGGCGGTTACTTTCTCGTTGGTGACGGATGCATGATCGTTACTTTCAGGAGAGACAGCCTCTTTCTCGGGGTGGATAGTGACCTCCTTTTCATTGTCGGGCACGGCAGAGACTTCCTTCTCACTCATCTTCTCTGGCAAGTATGGATTTTATATCCTGAAATTTATTTTCAGACTTGGACCGCGCGGAAGAGCTCTTCTAGAATTACGAGCCGTCCATTATATGTATCTGAGCCATGCATCCTGGCCCCATCATTAACGAGGCAGGCCAGAATGGCCCACAACGGACGGCTAAATCGGGAGGATCCTTTGCAGTTCGGAACAAGCTGATCACTGAGTGATCCGATATCAATCTCGAGGCAGCGAATAAGACGATTTTTTATCGCTGAACCAAGCACGCCATCAATTCCATCGTGCCACCAGGCCGCGAGATCGAGCACGCCATCCGGTCAGTGATGACACAATGAGACGGGTGGTCCACAACGGCCCCGCTGAGTTGATCCCCGGCTCAGGAAGCGTTGGGGCTCTTTGAGGGTATTCGAACACGATGGTGGGCTCATCATAGCCTCCTTGGCCTATATTTGGAATGATCCGGTGGTTGAGTGATAGGCGTTGCATTTGAGTCTCCAGTTTCGCTGAGCTGCATGTGTGATCCCTTTGTAAGCCATTTCTAAATAAGGTCGATCTTTGTGATCTGCCAGTATCGTAGCTGCTAACATCCGAATATAAATTCGCCAATGAGGGTTGAGCGAACGTTGAAGGTTGGGCGTCTAACTGACCGCCAACTACGCATGTTAAGCTTAGCCCAACTTTCTAGATACCGTCTTTAATACCCTGGGAACCTTGAGAAGCAATCATTTACTAATAGATAAGATCGCAAAGTCGGATACCTAAAAGGCTGTAGGCTGGCTTCAATGAATTCTCTGAAACTCGAGGCGTGCTTCATGCCCCTTGTAAGGCCATAGCTGCTGACAACGTTCGTGGCTGCAAGAAATTGCTAGGCTTGGATGGTGGAATGCGTGATAGGAATACCTTGAAGTTGAATAGCTTTATCAGAAATACTTAAGATCTCTCCTTGAGAGGAAGCCGCCTTATCATGTTGCGTTGTGTTAATCTTTCCGAATCTACATTCATATTCCTGGGGTGACTTTACGAAGTTGCAACATGGTACTATCAGCCGAAGTCTCACTTTGATGCGGCCTCAAGCATGTGAAGGAAGAAACTCTCTGAGTGCTGTGCTGAATTTAGTTTCATTTATCTGTTTCTGACTTGTAAGCCAAATGGTGATCGCGGTAGCTTGAACAATCTTAGCCAGCCAAAGAGGAGATGAAGGCTACGCGACAGATAGAATACAAGAAGAACAAATATTTAGCATGGTACCAAATGGGAGGAGATCTGCGAAGGAGTCTTAAGGGGGGGTTGATTCCCGTAAAAAAAGCCCGGACCTGGTTATCAGACTGGAACATTGCCGAACCAATGGCAATTGCCGAACGCCAAGGGACTGGAATCTGGAGTCCCCATAAACAAATGAGTGGAGAATTTAAAAGATGCCGAGGCTCAATTGAATATATCAACCAAGTCATCAACAAACAACCGGCTAGTGAAACACGATCTTCCAAACGAACACCTAACACTTCTTTCATCGGCCATCAATTCACAATGAGCGGCTCTATCCCAGAGATTGTCCTTTTCACCTACCCAGGATCTCCCTGGGGCAACAAGGTGGTTTCTTACCTTAACGTTCGAGGCATTAAGTATACAGAATGCCGGCAGCCACCAGTGATGCCGCGCCCTGATTTGCAGGCTCTGGGCATCAACTATCGGCGCATCCCCGTCCTGGCTATAGGAAGGGATATCTACTTCGACACGCGCTTGATCCTGGAGAAGCTGGAGCAGATGATTCCGGGAGAGACGCTGGGCGCAACCGACGCTCAGGGTCGCGCTTTCGAGAAGCTGTTTCGCGATTGGGCCGAGCTTTCGCTCTTCTCCTCGGCTGTCTTGACCATGCCGCCCGAACTGCCAGTCTTCCAAAATGAGACATTTATGAAGGACCGCTCGGGACTCACAGGTCGAAGCTTTACTGCCAAGGATCAGGCAAAGCGCCGTCCTGCAGCTTTGGTCGAGATGAGGACCCATTTCGAGCTGCTTGAGGATCTGCTAAGCGACGGGCGCAAGTGGCTGTCCGGGTCTGAAAACATTCGTTTGGTAGATATCCACGGTATGTTAGATTTGAAGAGGGACCGATATCCAATTTTTGAGCTAACGAGTTGCTGGCAAAGCTGCCTTTCCCATCGACTGGCTGCTGGGCATGCCAAATGCCTTGCCCGCTGAATTCTTCGGACCAGACCTTTACCCACGCACTGTAGAATTCATGAAGAGGTATCAGGAGACAGACAAAGCAGCAGCCCGTGCCAATTCCGTTAAGAAATCTCGTGGCCAAGAGGCTGTCGCAGCAATCCTCAGCTCGGGCTTTGCAGATGACGCCAAGGGTGTTAACAAAGACCCCCTCGAACTCGTCGAGGGTCAGACCGTGAGAGTCTTCAGAACCGACGATGCCAGCTCAGCAAGACACCATTTTGATACAGGAAAGCTATTGACACTTAACTTGCAAGAGGTAGTCCTAAGCCGACCAGCTGGTCCAAGCAACACCGAAATTCGCCTTCATCATCCTCGATGGAAATCCGGCGTGGCTGCGTTTAGGGAGGCTCAGTTATCTTAAATCAGTTGATGGACCAAATCCTCGGTTAGATTCAAACTCTACATCGGCAATAGCACATTGTCCATCTCGTTTCATCAGTTGAAGAAACTATTCGCGTGCTTTTTTCTGTCCATTTAATAACACGCATCCATTTTTTCCCTTTGGCTTTGGCTCTGATGCGACTTGATTCTACCCGGTTCACCACATTTGTAATGACTCAATCCTTGGCCTCGCTTTTAGATACAAGACGACGATTTCAAATGGCTATCTTGCCACTGCAAACAACTCGCTCCTCAGCCAGGATATTTGCCACGCGAGCTCCTTCTGTGGTTACACCCTTGTAAATCTCCGAGTCCGGCACGTCTACCAGGTCGAGATATCCTGTTGTGGAGTCGGCGCTGAGCTGCGCCAATACCAAACCGTTGCCCATCCACGCGAGGCTGTCTTCGTCCATTGATTCGTACTCAAAGTCTTCCCATCTTGGATGCTCTAGAGCTTTGCGTAGATGAATGGCTGAACCTGGCCAGAATCCAATTATACGGCCATCGGGGTGACGCTTGGCCCAGTTGTTGCACTGGAAGAAGTTAATAAGTCGCCCAATGAACGTTTCTAAACAGGTCAAAATAGCTCACCGTGTATGTGAAAGTAGTCTTTGCGAAGTATTTATCAGCCTGCTTTCTGAAAGCATTGACAGCTGATTGTCTGTAACGGAATTAAGTCAGTGGTTTCCTTTCGATGATTGGGGTCGTAATGTTGAACTCACTTGGCCACAATCGTTTTTAGGTTCTCTCTTTGTAGCTTTTGGATACACTTGATCACATATTCCGCTACGCATTCGCTCATTTGGATTGTTGAGCCAGCGCCAGATCCACCGTTTGGACCAACAAACAAGAACAAGTTCGGCATCTTTGCTGGGAGGATAGACATATATGCTATGGGATCTGGTTGCCACACGTCGTCAATCGAGATGCCCCCTTGACCATAGATCGGAGTCTCATGCATGTTCAAGGATCTAGTAGTTCAAGGTCAGTAAGTACGCTTCCAGTGTATGCAAGGCAATATGAGGAGAATACCAATGGGCAACTTACGTATCAAAGCCAGTGGCACAGACGATGGCGTCCGTTTCACGGAAGACACCATCTGCGTCGATGATACCATTCTCAGTCACCCTTCTGATACCCTTCGGAATGAAGTTCAGACTATCGTCTACAAGGCACTCAAGGTATCGAGGTCCCGGAGCAACTCGTCGACATAATGGCGGATAGTCAGGTCGCAGAGCTTCCCATACCGCAGGCTTGGGCGACAATCTACGAATCATGGACTCCTCTGTCTCTTTCGAGAAGGACTTGTTCATTGCGGAACCTCTCCAGTGAACAAGCTGGGCGCGATTGACGACATCTTCAATCTGATGTCTGTAACGCAGGTAGGTTTCCGGATGCTCCGACCAGCCTTTTCTTTCTTCCGCAGGATGTTCAACTATGTTTTAAATTAGCTTCATATCCACAGAGTGAAAATAGGGCATAGAAAAGGCATAGAGAATACAGTTGTGAACATCACTATTAGCTTTCCGAGGATCCGCGGCAACAAAGGCAGCGGGTGAGATCCACGCACGGCCGCGCACGTAATGGTCCATGTATTTGACTTGGGGCAGCATTGCAGGAACGATTTGGACGGCGCTAGAACCGCTGCCTATTACAGAGACCCTCTTGTCGGTAGGGTTAAAGGACGTGTCATAGTTTGCTGAGTGCATGACTGGGCCCTTGAAGTCATGAAGCCCTTCAATATCAGGCCATTTCCACTTGTTTAAGTTGCCAGTTGCCTTGACTAGTACATCCGCGTAGTCCTTGAACTCCTGCATGTCGATGTAATTAGTAAATAATGAGTATGAGGGTGAATGGGAGCCATTAGGCAGTTAAAGGCAGATGATATGGTAGAAAAGTTGTTACCGTGTTGTCTTCCATTCGGAGAATAGTAACTTCCCACTTATGGAGGCCTTCTAGCCAGACAGCTTTCTTGAACTCATGCTTGAACCGGACGTACTTGAGCACGTCATACTTCTCAGCAACAGTGCGGAAGTACTTGGAAATTTCCTGTCCTGGGGCAAAGAACGATGACCAATTGGTGTTGCTAGCAAACGTGAATTGAAAGGCATGAGATGGGACATCTTGAAGAGAAAGACACAAGCTGGTTAGCTATCATTCAAAGCTGGCTGTCAAGATAGAGACTTGTCTCACCGCAAGTAACTCCTGGGTACCTATTAAATGAAGTCAGTTGATTAAAGCCCATCTGCTGGTTTGAAGCAACTCACCTGTTCTCGTACCAAACACCTCCCACGTCGTCATTCTTCTCATAAATAGTCAAGTCGAGATTTTCTATTCTTTGAGGAAACCGGACACCGCATATGATACCGGACATGCCAGCTCCGATACATATTACTTTAATAGGCCTTACCGCATCGATAGGCTCAGACTGGGTTGCTGATTCTTTGACAGCCATTTTGGATTTCCGATGTATTTAGAGGTTCGTGATGTACGATATTCGAGAAGATATTTCGGGAAAGGAGTCTTGATATGAAGCCAATTTAGCGCCTATAGAAAGATGCCCATGTGTACCATCTCAGAAGACATCTTTTGCCCGTAGATAAAGGAAAAAGCCTTGAGACGAAATATCCGGGGTCAAAACTGACTCGATCCCCATCAGTCGCGTGAGTTAAGGGACACAGACTATTGCAATAAACTCCAGCTATCTAAACTGGGGTGCCGAGAGATAAGGTCGGTGTCTCCCGAGTCTTCCACTCGGTCACCCCCGAGCACGCCATCCTCCAACCTCTAGTCTGAATGGAGCACCCCGAAAACCCACTCTCATCCTTGTTTTGCTTGTTGAACTCTGCGTCCACAATCCCCAGATATTGGCCTGCTCAACTGCTACTGAGTAGCGTACAACCCCTTACACAATGGCCTCCGCTATCTGATGATATCAGATTAACCAGTGACATGGGCTAGATAGACTAGGACCAGGAAGATTCGGTGGCTATCACGCAATCGCCTATGGCTGAGGATTTTCTTCATTTAAGCCATCCCTTACCCAACGGCACTCCTATTCTTTCGCAACTGCTGACATCCCAAATTGCACTGCATCTTCTACTCTTCCATTACCATGAGCGATCCAACAGAAACCAAACCTGGGTTCACCGAGGCTCGACCCTCTAACTCCTCAATGGCCGAGGCTGAAGAGGAGCAAGATATATCCGAGCAGGTCTTGACGCCTAGTCAGAATCGAAAACTGTTGATCAAGACCAATTCTGTTATTCTGGTTGTGATGGTACTGGCGTCTCTGCTCGCCTTTCTAGACAAGGTCAGTAGTACCATTTCCTCACAAACGTATTGATAACTGACACGGAAATGATACATAGAATGCCATGAGTTTTGCCGCAGTCTATGGAATGTCTCAGGAAGTCGGCCTTGTGAACCAGGATTATAGCTGGCTTGGGTCCATCTTCTACTTCGGGTACATCGCCATGGAGATACCTGCTCTCTGGCTTCTGACCAGGGTACGCATTGGAAAATTCATCGGCACGATCCTCGTCCTTTGGGGAATCACCATTACAGCTATGGCTGGGTGTAAGAGCTTTGCGACATTGGCTGTGGCTAGATTCTTCCTCGGTGTCTTCGAGGCCGCCTTGTTGCCATGCTGTATCTTGCTCACATCTATCTGGTACCGCCGAGAAGAGCACGCCTTGGTTTCGGCTCTTTACTTCAATACTTTCGCCGGGGTGAGTCTTCTAAAAAAACACAATCAATGAAGTAATTGTTAATCAAAAGAAAGATATTTGGGGGCATTCTCGCATATGCCATTGGTCAGATTCAAGGAGGCCTGTCACCATGGAAGGTATGTTTTTGCTTCGTAATATAAACTCACTATTTATGCACAGGCACTGAACAGAAACTATAGTATTTATTTATCATTTATGGATCAATCACGCTGGCCTTTGGCTTCGTAGTGCTGGTCATTCTTCCAGATAGCCCCCAGACTGCTTGGTTCTTTACTGCGGAGCAGAAGAAACTCGTCGTCATCCGAACTGCCGAGAATCAAACCGGCGTCAACTCCAACAAGGTCAGTGCAGGCCTTCGAAAGCATACTCATTCATTAAAGACTTCATGCTCTTGACTTATGCCTGAAAACGTCCTACTAATGAATCATATGGTAGACATGGAAAATGGGACAGGTCTATGAAGCCCTCAAGGATCCCAAATATTGGGCTCTCTCCATTGGCGTCATGGCTTTTGCGGTTACAAACGCCGGCATTACCAACTTTAACCCACTCATTATATCTGGGTACGGATTTTCTAAGACCAAAACTGTGCTCATGGCTTCGCCACAAGCCGCAGTCGCAATTGTGGCACAGGTTACTGCAACTGTCATCATGCTCTATGTACCGAACGTGCGCTGCATTATTTGGGTTCTGTCAACACTTCCGGCTATTGCTGGAACTGTCATGATTCACTGTGAGTCATTTATCTTGAATATTGATATCATTGAAGCTAATTCCTTCATTGTAGTGCTTGATATCAAGACGCAGCGTGCTGCATCCCTTACTGGTGTTTACCTTATGGGCTTCTACAACGTCTCCTTTGTTACAATGCTTAGCCTTCAGTCTTCCAACAATTCGGGCACCACAAAGAAATCGTTCGCGTCTGTTTCTGTTGCCGTATGGTACTGTAAGTTATAATTATTCCTTTGGGGGAAATCTGTGAGCTCCGTACTAATGATGCTGGCAGCCGTGGGAAATATCTTCGGACCTCAATTCTTCAGAACTGACCAAGCCCCGTACTACCCTTTGGGAATCAATGCAATGATGACCGCCTTTTCTGTCAATGCTGTGATGGGAATGATTTACTTGTGAGCCGCCCCTCCTGCCAGTCTTTCGTCAACACATATATAACTAACTTATTTTCGTTACCAGTGCTTGCTGCTTTATCGAGAATAAGCGTCGGGACAGGGAGTATGGAAAGCCAGTTGAA